TCCATTCCTGTGTCATTGATATTGACATTTTGAGCTCTGCTGTGTGCAAGAAGTACTTGCGTCATCAGTAATGTTTGAATTAGACGTTGGGCAACGTTCTGTGTTGCTCAGTTCTTTAAAGCTTGCACTGCTACACAGGTCATTTGTCTGTCTCAGTATGAGGAGGGGTTTATTTGTCTCTTAGTGTCCAGCTGTTGCACTGTGGCCCGTCTCTGTCCTCACTCTTGCTGCCTTTATTCCCACAGAGGAATTTACATTTTCTAGACTGCTGCTACCTTTCTCTTCTTTCACTCCCAGTCTCTGTCACCTCCCACAATATCTCTGGTTTTTCTGTACCATGCCGTTACTGGCACAAATGTCTGTTTTAGCATGTTTCTTTGCGTCTGTTTTCTCTCTTATCTGTGCTGTTGCTTGAACAAAGGGTCAGCAAAATAGTTTTGTTTAAACAAAAATACAGTAAAACTGTAATATTGTGAAATATTATTACAACTTAAAATAAACGTTTTCCTGCATTAACATATCTTAAAATGTAACTCATTCCTTTGATGCGAAGCTGAATTTTCAGCATCATTACTTCAGTGTCACGTGACCATTCGGAAATCATTCTAATATGCTGATTTGCTGCTCAAGAAACATTTCTTATTATTAGCAGTGTTGTGCTGCTTAATATTTTGTGGAAACCTTGATACTTTTCATAATTGTTTGCTTTTATTAATTTTGTGCAAAAGCAAAACTTGCTTCAAGCAAACTCCATAAAGTCAAATTTCCTGGAAAAATGATGGCATACGATGCAGAATATTTATAAATCACATTCTTACTGATGCTTTTACTGTCAAAAGGAATTTTTGCAAATTTGATTAACCTCATCTCTGTTAGCCAGCTATAAAATGATCTTGGTGACAAAGCAACAGAATTTACAGCAGCAATGTAGAATATATCACAGACAACCAAAAGTCTGCTTAAAAATGCATGGACATTTTATTTTTTACTTTTAGTAGTCAGTTCCGTCAATAGTCTCGAAACACTCTCACACTGGCTGTAGGCCGGCTGGCCATCCTTATTTTTGAGCTCTCAGTACCATGATATGTAAAATTATCATCTGATACCACCATCACTGACTACAAGTACCATCGTACTGCAACAGTTTGTCTTGGCTTTACAGCACCATGAACTTGTTGTGTGCTTATTCTGGTGAATTGGAAGGGATTTTGAGTATCTTGTGCCTTGCTGTCTTACAGCTAAGCTAATATTCGCTCCCATTCGAACAATGGGTTGTTGGTATGCTTTTGCTAGAATTGTATAAGTAGGTGTTTTGTTGGTTAACTTTAAGAAAATTTCCACATTTCAAATAGTTTACTTTAAACAAACCATAAGGTTAATCAAACGAAAGGTTTTTTGAGTATATTGACATGAGGCAGACAGTGATTTAAGTGTCATGAACTGCAGTGAGTGCAAACTCTTCCCTCTGTTAGACAGTGATCAGATTTCAGTGGACTGGAGACCGGGATAGCATAGCTGCCCCCCAAACCTAACCCTAGGTGTGCTGAATGGAGGCATGTCGAAAGTTGAATTGCTGAAACTGAACCCCACACCCTGACAGACAGCTTTAGTGACCAATGATAAAGACCTTTCTCCACATCTCCTACCTTTCGGCAACCCCCCAACCTTTCGTCATGGGCATAGGCAGGCAGGCAGACATAAGCCAGTAATTTGAAAAGTATACATTTTGGATTATCGTCTCTATTGCAGACAGTTACGTTCATGATGTATTTTCATGTGCTTTTAAGCCATGCCATTGTAAACATTCAAGTGAATTTACTTGTCACTGTTCTGACGTACAGTTTTTGTGTGCTTGTTACAATGCTTGGATACTGAATTAAGTTATTTTTCATGGCTTACTGCTCAAATTGTCAAATACATGAACTTTAAATTGTCAAATACAATAACTTGTGAATTTATGAGTTATTTCTTAAGTAAACATGAACATTTGGAAGAAAATTGGATGTGTGACTATTGGATCTATACAATAGATTTCCAAGTGACAGACAGTAGCCTAATATTCCTGCTGTTGTCTATGTTGATAGACTTGTCACTTGTCAGGCAATAGTAGTAAAACCAGTAAAACGTTGCATTTCGCTGTACCTATTTTGGTGAATTGTGATATATGGCATTATCGTGGAATAAAATAACTCGTAATATTCTAGTCATATCAGCCATTGTTTTAACTGTTGAACTACCTGGTACTGTAAGTTTAGATCAGTAGGTATGCTATAACATCATAGAAAAGTGTGCTGCTGTTGTTGGTGCGAGGTGCTAACGTGTGTTTGGTGTGGCTTCTAAGTTTAGAACCTCTGCTCTATTTCTGATCCATTCTTTTTCCCAGCTGCCATTGAGCTATCTCTAGATTTCATTCAGCCAACAGGATATGACATCATAGCACACATAAGCATAGGTTTCCCTTAAGTTGGTTAAGGGTGACGACAGTTTACAGAGGAAATGTTGTGAATGGGAATGCTGTGTAACAGGTCAACACACACACACACACACACTGCTCAAAGCAATGTTGTCATTCTTCAGACTTCAGAACAGTTCAAGATGTAGGTGACTTTTTTTCTTCAGTAGAAAGTAAATAAGATTTTTTTGCTAAAACCATGGTCCTTGGTGACTCATATAATGCAAGTCAATGGCTACTGTCACTGTCACATTTAGAGTCCAAAAACATATACAGGCAAAACAAAATGCATACCTGTGGCCCCTGAAGATAACTGCACATTGAGGTCCTACGAAGCAAAACGATCAATCTGTGCAAGAAACTGAAGATTATTTACGACATTATTATTACCTGTATCCACAGCCTCTGCAAACGGTCCTGAGTGTGTTCACGGCAATCTGTAGCACAGGCTTTCTGTCCCATAATTAATTCTCATAATTAAAATATTTACATGTTTCAAATGTTAGAGAGTGTGTGTGACAGAGACAGGTTTGTGTGAAAAATCTCTCTCTCTCTCTCTCTTTCACTCACTCACTCACTCACCCTTTATCTGCTTCTTTAGTGTAGGGGGTATTGGGAAATCAGGCACCATTTTTTTTTATTTTTTTTCTCAAGGAGGTTATCACATTTCAGTTTTGGGAACTTCAGTCTGTATGCAAATAGTACTTGTGACTGTGAAAGCCAAAAGTGACAGTTAATCAAGTAAGATTACTTTACTTCATGGTTGTCCCATGCTGTAAAATGGGTAGAATCATTTTCATGGAAGTAAGATGGCTCTTACTTCCATGATAATTACAGTAGATATGGATTTTTTTTTCTTTAAACATTTATTAACAGCTAAATGTCATTAAAAAAGTTTTTTAGTTGCCTATTTTTCATAAAACAGTGTAAGCAATAGGAGAAAAAGGGGGAACATAATTGGGAAAAGACCTCGAGCGAGATTCAAACTTGCACAATGACTCCAAGATCAAGTCACCATGAAATCAATATTGACTATTCTTATTTTTTATGGAATGTTGAAGTGTGTATGATAAGTTATTTATGTTCCCTTATAAATACTCTAAATGTTGAAATGTTGAGTAGATTATATTAGGCATTGCGTGACTAATTTGAGCATGTCCGCTAATTTGTTTGTCGTAGTGTTCGCTTTTTCCTGTTCACGTCTCACGTTTCCTTCCAGCATCTTCCTCTTTCTACTGATAAAAATCCTAATTTCAGGTTGGGAAGTGCTTCTTTCACCTTACAGTCCTGGATTTGAGGTGTTTACTGTGCGTGATTGTTTTTGGAAGAAACTATGAGTGACGTCAAGACTGTGCTAATGGAAAGAGGACATTTCCTGAGGCACAGGAAGACTGTGCTCAGGTGAAGCCATGTGCTTGTGTGTTTGTGTCCTGACTCCTGATCCTGAATTAGTCTGTATTTCACTGAACATACTTCCGTGACAGACCTCACTGTGGCTCTCTCTCTATTAAACAGGATTCATTTACTGTACACATGATGACAACTATCTGACTTCTATCAGGAGAGTGTGATGTTTAAGTCAGTCAGTGGGGGAGGGCCAAGTCCCGATTCACCCCAAACATGCTACCCTCACCCTTACTATAGACCATTTCACAAGATGTAAACAACACTGGTCCAGAAGCACTTCCTGTTTCAGTTTGTAACTGTTTTCTTTATTTCACATGTAAAGAAAACATCTTAAAGATGTTTGTTGAACTTTTTGATTCAGTTTTAAATGTTCTGTTGGTTGTATTTTATCCCAGCTTTTATGTAGTGTTAAAAAACTGAAACAGGAAGTGCTTCTGGGCCTGTGTTGTTTACATCTTGTGAAATGGTCTATATAAGATTTCTATATCTAAAAAAAGTATTGTCACATTCGCTTGCTCGCTAGAGGTAAAACTGCTGACACTAGAATCTAATTGAATCAAATCAAATTGAGTTGTGTTTTATTGTCACTTGTTCTGGGCATTAGTTGGCATGGTAGATGCCTTACTTAACTTTACGCAAAATGAAATGTTGCTACGAGGTGTAAAACACAAAACATTTTGAAATGCATTTTCTGTGTGTCGTTTCCAATGGTTTTTTTGTACTTGCAGAGCTGACGATGAGAAACACGTATTGCATTTATTTTGAAATAACTTTGAATTCGAATGAAAAAGAAAAAGAAATCCATTTATATGTTGAGCTTCTCGAGCAGTGTTTTATTTCATATCTTCTACTGCCACCTTGTGGTGAACACCTAGCATTAGTATTGAATGTTTTATAGAGATTACATTTGCATTCCCTTCACTTTATCAGAAAGGATATCTGAGTTTTAAAACTGTTTATTGTATTAGATAAGCTCAAAACTACTAAATATCAACGAAGCACTTCATATACCTTTTGACAATATTTTCTGTTAAGTAATATAGTATTTTGTATTTATCATCAATGTAATGTAGCCTACATGTTTTTTTATATAATGTTATTTTGGGACTGTTCTTTTATGTTTTCCTTGTTTTCCTGGAAGGTCTGTTTATGATGGACAGGAACATGGACTCTTCATGGAGAAACTGGAGGGGCGGATCCGCAACCACGACCGTGAAATTGAGAAGATGTGCAACCATCACTTCCAGGGCTTTGTGGACTCCATTACTGAGCTGCTCAAAGTGCGCGGGGAAGCCCAGAAACTCAAGGTGCAGAAAAAGGAGATGAGGGTTTAAGGAAAATCCAAATATACTCTCAGTTTAATCACTCATATTATTGGTTGTCTCATCTTCCTCAGGGTCAGGTGACTGAGACCAATCAGAAGCTACAAAATGACGGCAAGGGGGTGTGTATCCTGTTTGCTTAGTTTAGTCTTTGATTCAGAACATGTAACATTAACAAGCATGACTAAATCAATGGTTACCTCCCCTGTAGCTCCTGACGTCAATGGATGAACTGAGACAATGCCGTCTGCAGCAGAGGAATATCGCCACCACCATTGACAAACTCACACACTGCTTACCAGGTAGAAACATCAGGCCTCATCCTGATTTTTAAATATTTGCTGTATTTACACTACATTCAACCGCTTGGGGTCAGTGAAAGTGGATATATTTATAACGTTACTAAAGATATCCATTTCAAATAAATGCTGTTCTTTTGAACTTTCTATTCATTAGATACCCCTTTTCCACCAAAAAAAGAACTGGTTTGGAACTGGTGCTGTTTCAAAGTTGGTTCGGAGTTGGTTCAACTTGCGAACCTTTTCAGAACCTGTTGTTTTTCCACTTACTAGAGCACCCAGGGAACAACGTTGTTACGTCACTGTGTACGTCGCCATACGTCTTAGCTAGAAACACTTGCAAGTACAACATTACTTTGAGATTATCTCTAACTCGTGTACCAAGAAGGCTTTAAAACAATTGAAAAATGTAAGTCTTTTAATCTTTTCTTTTGATATGTAATCTTTTCTGATTAGTTATGTGCCCCTGTCTTGTGTCTTTTTTTCCTTTCCATTTATTTGTTCTATATTGTGACTGTTTGCTTATAATGCTTTCAATATTTTTTTTTTTTTTAAATAGAAACGCTTTTGCCAACTTCAAGCATAACAATTACAAATGCGGACTCCATCGAGTTTCTGCAAATGTTTCTCCTGGCTTTGCGATCCTATATTATGGTCAGAAAAGATGTTTAGAGCACATCTAAACCGCCCCCAGTCCCCGATGTAAGCATGACATGGTAAAAGAACGGTTCTAGTCCAGCAAAGAGTTTGGAACCAGTTTTCCTGGCCGAGAACCGGTTCTTTGACTGTCGAAACACAAAGAACTGGTTCGCGCGCAGGCACCGGCTCCGAACCGGCTCTCAAAATGCTTTGGTGGAAAAGGGGTAAAAGAGTCTTGAAAAAGATATCATGGTTTACCAGAATTTTAAGCAGCACAACCATTTCCAACTGTGTGATAATAAGAAATGTTTCCTAAGCACCAAATCAGACTGGAGTAATGGCTGCAGGCTAGGAATGTATATTAATATACATTTTTTGTAATACATTTACTGTATTTTTTGATAAAATCTAATTTGATAAAATGTTATAACCAGCCTAAACTTTTGACCTGTATTGTATGTTTTTTTTAAGTCCTTGGAAGCTCACATGCTGTGCTCTTGACTCTTTTCCCACAATTCCACATATTTTTTCCTTGCAGTGTTGGAGATGTACACCAAACTGCAGGAACAGATGCGGACTAAAAGGTATGAAGTTCATTCAGATGCCTTTTTTTGTGCACATTGACAACACCAGATGAGCACTAGGTGGCAGTAGAGATAAGCGTTTTCACTTGGACCGTCTAGTACCCACAATATTTTAACACCTTTACTTAAAGTACATTTGAGAACAGGACATTCTCGGCTGGGGAAGAGAGAGCAAGGTGTTGATGATTTAAACAGGCCCTTGATCACTGGACCACTGGAGTATCTCATCCAGCCAGATGTGACTGTGACCAGACAGAGAGAGAAAGAGAATTTTCAGATGTCTGAGATGTTCAAAGCAGCATTTGGCAGCTGTCAGGACTCAGAGACACAGAGGACACATTTGGACTGGATTTTCTTAGCTTTAGCAGCTGCATACATTGAACCATCCCAAATCTCAACATTATCAGGCAATTTTGTTATTTATGGGCTTTTTGTTTTTATAGTCAAGGACAGTACATCTGACAGGAAGGTGGAGGGAGAGAGGGAATTTGGTGAAAACGATACAGGATTTCATCCTGCGTCCTCATGAGCACACAGCTCTTATATTCAAGCACATCGCAACCCTCGGGGCGGGGGGACGTAAAAGAGCTTCTGACAAAGATTTTACAAAATATGATAGGACTGCTAGTACATTTACTCGCTGGCTAGAAAAGATATACACTTAATAAATAATATTTTCAGAAAAAGTTTATAATTTGCCTCAATACATTTAGTTAATTTAGCATTGTTAAAATCTTATTTTTTTTTTAATACAAATAAAATATATAACTGCCTTTATATTTTAGAAAGGGTGGGATCATTATATTTTGGAGTCAAAATTGTGGAAACACCTAAACTGCCACTTTAAACGTTTTGGAAGCATTGGTTTTGCTGTCTTGTCATGTCCTCTGTGTGACCTGATGTTCGGCATGGGCCTGCAACTTTTTTCGTTTTTTATTTATCTCTGCTCTCCGTGTTTCCCCGTCTCTCTCGTGTGCTTGGTTTTGCCATTAGCCTGGAGGTAGCGGCAGGGTCGGCCAAGAGAGACTCTCTCCCCGGTGTCGGGTCTGCTGTGTAATGTTGCGTGACTGTGATGCTGTATTCAGAGAGTGTGTGTGTGTGTGTGTGCGATGAGCATAGCTCATCTGTGAGATCATCTTGATTGGGTTAAATTGTTATCATGCTGAGAACTTAGTCTTTAACCAAAGATTAAAACACGTACTGCATGTGCAAGGCTCATCAATAATAATGTCCTGAGGAGAGTTTTGAGAGTTTTGGGTCTGTCATTTGCCCTCCAGTTTGACATAAAAATAAAAAATGTAAAATGTTTAATGCATGTGTATACAAATGAAAAAAAGCTATTATAAATAATGTCAATCATTTATTAATTATACATTTTTTTTTGTCACATTAAAAAAGTTGTTGCTTTGTGGTCATTGAAAATTATGGTTTGGAAGTAAGAGTCTGAACTTCTGTCTCAAGTGGGCCAACAGAAATAAAACCTTATTGTTGAGCCCTGCATTTGTGCTCATTAATACTGGGAAGGTTTTTTGAAGTAGCACATATATGCAACATTTCCTCTATCCATCATTTCTGACCCCGTCGTATGCTACCCAGATACTATCCAGCTTTACGAACCCTGGAACAGTTGGAGGAGAGCTGTTTGCCTCAAGCGGGATCATATCGTTTCTGCACCATCATGGCAGAGAATATCCCACGCCTGCGCACGCACATCAGAGACGTCTCCATGTCTGACCTCAAAGACTTCCTGGAGAGCATCCGCAAGCATTCGGATAAGATCGGAGAGACTGCCATGAAACAGGTGTGTGTGCTTGTGTTTGAGAGAGAGCGCTCGTGTCTGAATAATGCCTGGAGGTGTGTCTGAACTATTCTTTGACAGCTGCCTCAAGTGCTCACCTCTGACCTTATGGTCACAGCTGGGTTTCAACTTGAGGTCTCAGAAGGAAGGACAAAGGCCTTGTTCTTCGGTAGTTTAATGTGCTTTTTCCCCATTTTTCCTTTCATCTTATCTCTGACCATCTAGTCTGGAGGAAAGAGAGCTACCAATCTGTTCTGAATCAAAGATCATTTTAGGTCGCTTTTGTTTATGCCAGAGGAGTCTAGCAACACAGTGTATGGACGCTGCTTCAAGGACAGTGCACGGAGACACGGAGAAGACTCAGGGAACACATATGAGAGAAATTGAGTGGATTTTTCGTTGGAATGCAGAAAAGTCCTCTGCTTTCTTTTACAGTTATTAGACCAAGATGGGGTGAGGAGTGCATTAGAATATGAAACGCCAAGTAGACATTAAGATCTCCCAAGCACCATAAAATCTGGCCTCACTTTTTTCTCTTTTTCTCTTTGACATATTTTTCTTTGCTTTCTTCCTTGTTCTTTTTCACAGAGGAATACAATAATAGATGATATTGGACGAAAGATCCAGTGGAGGTGGTTTCTAAGGCAGGCATCACTATTGCACATACTTGCTTGCCCAAACATACTACGTTTAGGGCTTTTCCGTATCAATAAGTATTCCAATTTTCTTGCAACTCATCCTAAAAAAACACAGACTTGCAATGGAGAGCATATCTTGGTACCATTATATTATTGAGCAGTTGGCCAATTTTAAATAAGATAAAACGAGCATTACAATTACATTGCAAGCTCAAACAACTGAAATCTAGATATTTCTTTTTAGTTTACTACTTCAAGTATTGCTTTTTTTTCTTCAATAGAAGATCCAGGATTCCCACTGTCTAACACCTATTTAGGATATATGAGGTAACCTAATTTAAAATAATAGTTTGTTTTTATAAAATAAATAAATACAAAAAATTAAAAAATGTAAAATTTTTATAATTTAAAAAAAATCCTTGATCCAGTAAATCATGAGGCTTTTCAATTTTGTTAATGAAATTTTAAATATTGTACCTACCGCACATACAACATTCCTAATGGTACTACCGTACTGACGATACTACCATTTAAAAAAAAAATACAATGACATTGCCAATATTAGAATCCCAATGCTACCCTAGTACCGGTATATCGTTCAGCCTTAGTTGTTAGGAGTCAAAGTGGTTGAGAATCACTGTCATAGACATTTGGCCTGTAAGCATCCACCTACGTAGAACATTCAACATCATTAAGGATAACTTTGTTGTCTTCGACATCACATTTTCTGCAGAAAGTTCTCCACTCTTCTCAGATCTGTTTCTGCTACTAATTAAGAAACAGTGGAGAGCAAAAGTAGCCAAAAACATGTCACTGAAGGGTTCAAATATTCCTCCTTGAAAAAGGCCAAAGCCATGCGTGTGTGTACATGTGATGGTGTGCTATAACATATGTTTTCTTTTTACTGTGTGAATTTTTTTTTAGTTACACCCCAACACTTTCTAGAACACAGCGAAACGACTAAATTAACATTTTTCAGTAGTACAAAGTTAGCCCAGCTTTTGAAAAATATTGGAAATTTGATCTATTCTTCCTTTTTGTTCTGGCAGTTTAAGTTAAATGATTCCAGAAACGGTTCACCTATTTGAGTCACTTTGCAGAAGTGTGACATTTAGGTCTTTTTTTTTTTTTTTTTTATCGAAATATTGAGTTAAATGCTGTTGATGTTTCCAGCTAGTTAAGACACATTCTATTTTTAAGAAAAATGCAATTTTAAGATGCATTCTATACATTTTGTTTAAGTTCGAGTCCATAAACTCTCATTCTTTTTTTGTGTGACAAGTGTACACTTGAATATACTTAAAAAAAAAAGATTAATCATGATATAATCATGTAGTTTTATATTTAAAGATTGATATTGTTTCCCCAGCTTCAATGTAATTATGTATGTGGCTGCTTTTTTTCTGGGACTTCATTTACTTTTTCTCAAGAGGAGCTTTACTGTAATTTAATCATGTTCAGTTATGAGTAGCGTGTAGCTTGGAAAGCTAGAGTTTCAAAGTTACTTCAATAACATTGGTTTTTGGAAAGTTCATTTTGTCTCTGACGATGTTGAAGAGGAGAAGTTGGTCAATGAAACAATATGTGTATTCATCCAGGTAGGCAGGACTGAGGTAGATGTGTATTCTACCAGCAGGTTTTAATGCATTCGCTGTGTGACATGAGCAAATGCATGTGGACACCATGAGTTGTAATCAGAGATACCCGTTTGTTCTGTTGCTGGTCTGCTTCCAGTTGCCCCAGCCCAGGCTTTCGTTCCACTTTGTCCCTTTTCCCCCTCGCCTCATCAGCCAGTGCCCTTGTCCATAGTTTGAACAAACTGTTGGCTCCTGAAGCTCCGGAACTTGGTGAGTTTCCACCGGTCCAATCTAAATGATGGGACTGTTTGGTTTGAACTCTCTGCTGGTCTACTTTCTGAGTCTGATCATCTGGGCATACACGTCCATTGGTTTGTGCCCTTCCTTTAGTACAATGTGTTATCATTCAGTGGATTATTTTTAATTTAATAAATAACGTTGTTATTCATTGTTATACATTTATTCTTTGTTTTCCATTTCGGTTTTCGGGTTTTAGCTTTATTTTTAGCATTTTTTTGCTTTTAAAAACAGGGATGTATATAGTTGTACCCTATATGAAGACATAAAGCAATTAATTTTCTCATTTTTCATAAATAGTTGTTGTATGTCAAATCACTCGTGCACTCCATAGCGAGCCCCGTTTCTGTTAAGTGACACACCATTTCTGCTTTTGACACACTGCACAGCCAATTCAGACATTTAATTTTACTTATCTGAGTGAAGTAAAATAGTTTCATGACCATGCAGAGAAATATTATAGATTTAGAGCAGTTGTCCTGAAAAGGACTATACATAAAATAACTGTATAATCTTGCCAATAATTATCTTTATAAACATTCAAAATCTAAATTTGCAAAGAACTTACTGACCCCAAACTTTTGAACTGTTGTGTATGTAGTAAATGAGAAAAACACTGGTATTTGTTGCAACTCTTCCACTAGCCCACCTCTTGGGCCTCTAGGTGATTGGTGAATGAGACCTCCTAGTTTTGTGGGCCATCTGTATTCAGTATTGGGATTTATTGAAGGGATTGTGGGAGTAGAAAAGAAGGGAATCACGTAACAGGGTGAAGGGTAGATTGCACAAGATGAAGTCAAATTGGGAACAATCAGTGACTATCGCTCTTTTTATCCGTACTTTTCTACTGACCCCATAGAGGGACATGTAGATGCGCAAATACGTTCTTGGACCATTTTAAACCATTAACATAAGATTAATCCCAGTGTTTAATATTGCTTGGATGTAATTTGGATGAGATTGCCAAACTGATAATGAAACACACTGGCTCATGTGATTTTGGTTATGTGTTTTCTTGGGTGCCTGTCCTACCCTTCCAGTGGCCTCTGGCGTAGAACAGCAAATTGTACTGAACGGTGTTCAAACTCTTGAACCACACGATTTGCAGCATGCACAACCACCCAGGCAAATGCGCACACACTTATGTCAACATCACCATGTGCTGTCCTAACCATGCGCGGCTGTTCGGGTTCAAAACGTGGTTAACTGCTTTTCCTCCCACCCTAGCGTCCTCTCATCTCCCATCATCTCCCATCACGAACTTCCATTTGACCCAGATTCTGCTCATGCTGATGCGATCCATGTCTGACCTGGTCTTGGCCGCTGACTTCAGCTACTGCTTGAGTTTCTGAGATAAACCTTGATCTGGGACACGGCTGGAGCTGATCTTCAGCGACTCCCTTTTAGGAACACACTGTTTGAATGAATCAATCTTCCCTGGAGCCTGACTTTGTATCCCCAGGTGTATCTTCTAATAAAAAAAGAGAAAGGAAGTGTGTTTCGGTGAAAACTAAAATGGAATCTCGAGTAAGCAATTACAATATTTTGGAATTTTGGGTTGTGGGATTTCCTAAGGGAACTCTTGTTGTTGCTCAACACCACATACCAACACCTTGACGTTGTGTCAGCAGGTTTTGCTTCACTTACTTTTTTCTCCAGAAGATGTCAACACCTTCTCCCTCATTTCTTGGCTTGTAAACCAGCAAAACACCTTTTAATCTCATGTCAATTCTCCCTTTCCCCCCTCCCCCAGCAGTCAATGCTCTCCATCATGTGTTTCCATTTGCATCCAGTAGGTGGCAGCAGAGGTCATCCCAGATTCTGCCTGCCTCCGCCGCTCCGTAACGTCTCCCGCAGAAGTGGAATGTTGGTGTAGAGTTAAACCAATATTCAAACTCCAGTAACCTTTGAACAAAGTGACCGTCCAATCGGGACTTGCCAAGCCTCACATTCCTCCTATTAAAGTTTGTTTTCTTGCATGTCTTTGAGTTCTGTAAGATTTGTCTTCTTGGCACGCGTTCATGTGCGTGTGTGTTTTGGCTGAAACCCGGCACGTGCTGATTAGAGCAAAGCTGTGGAGTTGTTCCTCAAAAGTAAACCAAGTGAACGATAAATCAAGCTCTAATGTCACCTTGCACAAGCTTTCTGTTAACTCAGGGAATCAATCTGTAACACTCTCTTATTCTTGATTGCTGACACAGACGCTGGCTCCTGGTTCTGACCTGCGACTTCTCCTCGCTAGCAGATGTGACTGCTCTGCTTACATGTTGGCACTCGTTGTGGCCTTTTTGCAGCTTCAGTAGTGGTTTCTGCTGTTAAATACAGAAGGGTGTCGTCGCTCTTTCTACTTTTTTGTGGGTTTCTGTTCCAGTGGTTTTGTGGTCGAGTGACGTTGGAGACATTCTGACTAAAGAAGCTGGAGAAGAATAGATCAGTTGCTCTTTGCTGACTGATGAAGAACAGAGCGCCTTTTCCACCCATCATTCATATTTTCTTCTGTTCAGGGATTTAACTTTTTCTCTCTTGAAACTGTATTTGCCCACTTCTTGGTCATTTTTGCCCATCCATCTCTGCATATTATGGTCACATTGTTAATGTTGTGTGGAGAAATACTTGAAGTTTTCACATTCTTTTGGCTGACGTCAGAAGACAGATGGCATCGCTACCACCGCCAAATACCTTTGGGCAATAAATCGGTTGTTTCAGGGTAAGACCCTCAACCTCAAGTGGATCCACTTCCCTTTCCACAGCAGAGATGGCTTCTCTTGAGCTTTGGATGTGTCTCATTCCCTCCTCCCCGCTCCATTCTTCCATCCCCGACTCCAGATGAGCGAGTAAGCGCACGAGCAAACCGCTAATAACAGAAGGCTATTTGTTTAGTGGCTCTGTGATCCAGACTTGCAGACTGGTTCCTATTCCACTGGAAATTAGGCCCAGTCTCTGTGAGCCTGTGATTGTTTTAATTCCACTAACAAATGATCTGAAAATAAATATATTGGGAGATCCAGTGCTGTAATAATGGCTCCATTGTATGCTGTCGAGCACAGAGAGTCTGTGTGTATGTTGAGTATAGAGAAGCAGTTAGTCAAAGATTTTGTTATAGACCTCAAGCTTGAATTTTAATCTTCCTTTTCTTTTGACCCCCTTTCCCCTTTTGTTCTGTCAGTCACTTCTATTTGTTAGCTCAATTTTATTCCATTATTTTATTCTTAGCCCAACTTTTGTTCCATTTGACTCCTTTTTGTATATTTCTCTGAAGGAGCATGTTTATACAGTGATATAACAAATGTTTTCACCATCTTCAGAATGATTCTTAAAATATTTGCTTCATTGTCTTTTGCTTTTTATTTTAGGGAGAGGTTGGTTACATCTAGTTATTTGGAAATCATCATCTTTTGCCAAACATTATTAATTGCCACAGACAATCATATAAATGTTAAAATTTATACAAATGTTTACGATTGAACGTTTAACAAAGCTGCAGTGTTCAGGAAACCTGTTGTAATCTTTGTTTTAGCAGTCTAGGCTCCTTAAAGGAAGGGTAGGCAATTTCGGAGAGGCTAGCAATAGCAAGCTATCTTTGAAAGCATTAGATCCCAGCATTCCTTCAGAGCGCACCCCAAAGTGATGCCTCCTGCAAAATTATAAACGCATAGTGTCAGAGCAGAGTCGACAAGGCGCCTCAAAAGCACAACATTGCAAAAATAATGAATTTAAACTGACTTGTAACATCTGACAGCTGCAGATTAAAGGAGTAGTTCACTTTTGAAAAAAAACATTTGCTGATAATTTCCTCACCCCCATGTCATCCAAGATGTCCATGTCATTCTTTCTTCAGTTGAAAAGAAATTAAGGTTTTTGATGAAAACATTCAAGCATTTTTCTCCATTTAATGCACTTCAGTGGGAACCAAACGGTTCAAGATCCAAAAGACACTTTCAGTACAAACTGCAAACTGTTCAAAGGGCTTTAAACGATTCCAGACGATGAATAATGGTCTTATTAAGCGAAACGATCGCTCATTTAAAAAAACCCCAAAAAAAAAGTGATTTATTTTGAATGAATGAACAAATCTTTTTCAATCACTTTTGTTTTTTTTTGTTTTTTTTTAAATGAGCGATCGTTTCGCTTGATAAGACCCTGATTCATCATCTGGAATCGTTTAAAGCCCTTTGAACAGTTCGCAGTTTGCACTGAAACTGTCTTTTGGACCTTGAACCGTTTGGTTCCCACTGAAGTGCATTATATGGAGAAAAATACTGGAATGTTTTCAGCAAAAACCTTAATTTCTTTTCGACTGAAGAAAGAAAGACATGGACATCTTGGATGACATGCGGGTGAGTGAATTACTTAGTCTATCTGCCTAAAGAAAGCGCTGATAACGTGTGATGTCTGCGCAGGCAGAGTGCGCAGAGGAATGGAAATACATTTGTTCACTGGCAGGTACGACGTCCTATCATTGCATTTGGACCAATATTTTTCGTCCTAAGATTTCAACAGGTTCCAGGGCTGCACGATACATTATTTTATCATTGATATTGTGGTGTGCGCATCTGTCAAGTATAGGGATCATAGTAAATATATTTAGACCACGTCTATTATTGATTGCTTTCAGGATGTTATCATGATGGTTTCAACCAGTATGGTAAAAAGTGTTTATGAAATACATTGCCTTCCCTACCTTTGAAAAAAGAATGAAAAAAGTGTTTCATTCTTTTTCTGCAAAGGAATATTAAAGTGCCCCTTTTATGCTATTTTAAAGATTCCTAATTTTGTTTTGGAGGTCTTTGGAGGTTGGAGGTCTTTGTTTTTTTTTTTGTGCAGAAATTGATTTTACAGCCCATGAAACGGATACATCTGAATAAAAAAACAACTGTACAATATAAAACTACAGATGTATAGATTTTTTAAAAGTATAAAGTTTGAGTCTGTTTCTGTTTGAGTTAGAGATGCACCATTTTACAGAAACTGATATTAAAGTTTTCTTTTAGCTGAAAACCAAAAAGAAATGATGAATGATTTATTGATTAAACTATATTGTCCACTAATGTGGAAATTTGTCATCGACTCATCGATTTTTTCTATTGCACCCTATTCACAATTACAAATATTCTGAAGGGAATATGTGCTGTACAACAAGCTGCATAACTTTTAACAACTAAAAATATTTTAACCTTTCATTTTTCCAAAGGAATACTCTTTTTCTTGTCTTATTTGGCATGTTCTTTCACTCACATACTTGTTTAAATCCTGAAATTGCAGCTGTGGCTAACTAATGCCTTTCACTGTGAAATTCATAAGTTCTTAATAATTGAGCACTTCATGGGGCCACTGAAGGAAAGGAATTTTTGCAGTGTTTGTTTCTTTCTTTTTGTTTGCCTTCTAGTACCCCATCACTCTGACGCGAATGCCTCTACTTAAGATGAGAGGACCGAACTGAACGAGTGGGACATAACAGCCAATGAAGCACAATAGACAACACACTACTGTAACATACTGCATCCGATACACCCTCGCTATGACGCACATGCCTCTACTAGAGTTTAGAAGAGGATTAGAACTTCAGACGTGTCTAAAGAAATAAGTAGAGCACAATGCAATGATGAATACAATGACAATGCTCAATCTTTACAAAGTCCAATTAGTGCATTCAGACCTTCTCATTCTCAGAGAAGAATTATTAGGATAAAGTGTTGGTTTGAATCCTTTTTTTGAGAACATCAAGCAGCCACAACATCCACTTTGCATCCTATTGTTGCTATTTGCTTTCAATTCCTTTGTCCTCATGGTGTTGAAGTTTTCTCTCAATTACCTTTTTTGTTGGCTTTAAGAAACTGGGTTGAAATGTTCACAACATTTCCTGTAAAGAAGTCCTTTAAATCTGATGCTCGTCATGGGAAGGAATTCTTAAGTTGCAACTTGCAAAGGTCTCTGATATACCCTCGCTATGACGCACATTTCTGTACTAGAGAGCTCAATCTTTGCGTAGTCTAATAAGCTCATTTGGACCTTCTCATTCTCAGAGAAGAATAATCCGAAAAAACAGTATTGTCTTGAATCCTTTTTGTGGAACCACCAGGAAGCCCACAACATCCCCTTTGTATCCTATTGTCGCTGCTTGGGTTCTGTTCTCTTGTCCTAATGGCGTTTTGGTGTTATGGAGTTTTCTTTTTTTCAATAAAGAGGCATTTTTTGTTGTTGTCCGCTTCAAGAGCCCTCCTTGCCTGAATCTGGCTCCCCACTAAATAACTTGAGAGGTCCGTAAGGAGAAGGTTGTGTGCGCATTGAACTTGGTCTTGACGTCAGACGCTGTTAGTTAAAGAATAGTGTTCAATTGAGGAAATCTCATCTGAACTCTCACGTTTTGCTTATGGGAAATCCTTTCACAGGTGCCTTTCCCTTTGTTGGCATTAATGGGAAAAGACGTACTTTGTTAATATGTAGAACAGTATCGCTATTGATTTAGAATGTCACATGGAAATGATTGACAAGCTCAGTCTTTGTTTCTTCTTGAAGACGTGGGATACTAAAATACATACTCTCTCTCTCTCTCTCTCTCTCTCTCTCTCTCTCTCACTCTCTATTGCCACAAGAAAAAAAAGATTTAATTGTAATTTAAAATGTAATTCTTTTAAAAGTCTTACCATATGTTCCTCTTCACATGTTGCTGTGTTTGTTTTCTAGGCACAGGTCCAGATCGCTCGTGACAATGCCGTGACATCACAGCAGCGGTCAGCGAGTGGACGAAGGATACGGAAGGAAGCATGCTCAGGCACAGAGGTCGACAGAACTGAAAGCAACCCCTTCTCGGAACAGGATTCTGGAATATTGGATGTGGAGTATGAAGAGGAGAATGAGGTGAGAGAGGAAATATTCACCTCAGCAGTTAAGCATTTCAATTTATTTGAAGCTTTTAGCACTTTGTTTTCAGTCTACTTTTGTGAACAGGCGCTTAATGAAACCAGGAAAAAAGAATTCCTCATTCAAATGTGACTTCGGGTATTATTCTCTGTTCTTTTTCCTTCTGTCTCAGTCCTTCATTTTGGGTTTGAATCATAATGAATGTAGCCAATCTGGTTCTGATTCCTATTAGTGATTCTGCTAACAATTATTTTAATATGTTTGAAATGGATTTAAATTATTATATATTTTTATAATCAAAAATGATTCTACACTCATTCAAATAAACAACCAGCCACAAAACACTCGAATGGTTCTTGGTTCATTTCAGTTAAACATGAGTCAGATTAATTCAGTAACCACTCCAACGGATTCAACCTTTGTATGAATAACTTGGATGTGGAAAACACGGTCACAGTTTTTTAGTACAGTGTTCTTCTATCTACATTATCCGAAAATCTAAAGTCATGAGAATTATCTAGTTAAATTATTCAAATGGAATCTCTGAATATTTACTCTAAATCCCAGTTTCTCTGTCTGTGTTTTCGTCCCTTTCCATCAGTCCCTTTCTCCTGCTTTTACTTGAATATCCCTATGGACTTGCTGTTGGGCTGCCTGCCCAGTCCAGGATCCCCTCCCTTTCTTAATGGAGCGTCTCAGCTCCGCAGTCATTTAGTGTCATTAGGCCTACCCTGCTCCTCTGAGGCAGCAATGTGAGACGTGTGGAGCATGCAAGACGTGCTCCCCAGCTGTAGCTACCACCGCCACCAAGCCAAAGGATGATCCTCGCTTATGTCCTTAGAGACAAATTAAAATGACACAATCTAGACAGTCAGTTTTGTTGTGTAGTTCACGTTGATTTTATTTTGATGTGCTCAGAAGTATGTGTCTTTTTCTTGTTTTGACATGGTGTTGCTCAAACTGAAGCAACACAAGATTGACACTTGTTGTGTTTGTACTAAAGCACTCGGGATGGACTTTTGTTTTCCATTTGCGTTATGCTAAGCAGACACTTTCATGTCAAAGCAGCTTACAAAAAGTCACTTACTAAATAAACGTTAATGTAATTTTTGACTAAAGTTTACCATATTTACCTGATGTCTTACTTAGTTCCATGATGGGGCAACCTTGCCAACTATATGATTTTGATATCAGTTTGATCAGTGTAAACATTTCCACAATAGTTCCATAAGTGAAGATTTTACCTTCAACTGACCCTGGTAAGGTTAATGCTTTTTGCCCTCTTGTTTGACCTTTCCCCCTTCCCTTCCCTCCAAGCTTCAATCAGCCTGTGCGTCATCATGTTTTCCTCTTCTGGCTCCTGTTGGAGAAGCAGTGCTTGTGCCAGGCTTTAATCTGCTTGAATCTCTGTGCTCAGGGGCTTCCTGAGAAACGGTTGTATCCAAAGATGGAGATCGGTGCCCGTTTAATGACCCCTTGCCACCTGAGCGATGTCCCAATGCGCCCCTTCGTCCTGTCTGTAAACTCTTTGTAGGGGAGTATGTTGGTGTGAACACGCCATCCTTGAACCGGGCAGACATTTCCAGCTCTGTCCCAGTGGTGCATCAAGACTGAATTGTTTTTTCCACATTCTCTGGTTTAATTGTTGGTGGTGCCATGAAATAGTCAGGTTTGAATGTCCCTGATTGCTAATTTGCGGGCACCAGATCAAAGCTGGTATTGTTCAGTTTGGCCATTTGTTTGGGTTACTTTTGGAAAAAATATACTGGATGATCTTTCCTATACTGGTAAGGTCAAGGGTGGCTCAAGTCAAAGGGAAATAAAGAGAATGTGATAAGTTAAATGTGGTCAAACTATTTTCATTTTACAATACATTCATTTTTCATGACCTTTGACAATCTAAAGAAATTCTAGTTGAAAAATATCTTTAATGGTTTTTTTTTCTCCTTATTGACTTCCAGCTTTAGTGCTTGTTATTTTTATAGGATACTATGTCTCTCACTGACTGTATTTTATTACAGATTCCTGGTGCGCAGGACTTGGTGGACTTCTCTCCTGTTTATCGCTGTTTACACATCTACACTGTATTGGTGAGTATTTCTCATTTGCATTTTGTTTTATTTCACGTTTGACTTGTCTGATATTTTTAATCAGAAAACGATCTCAATGTTGGCCCCTCACGCTTGCATATATAACCCTCACTTTGTTCCCCAAGGCCTTTAGTTGCAGTGTTATTCTCAGGCAGAGAATGTTTTGAGTTTTTTTCAGCATATGTTCCTGAAAATGTGGATGTCTGTATGAGAAGTTGGTCATTTAAAATTTCATGTGTTAATGTTACCGTTTATGAGTGAGCTTTTTACACTACGGTTCAAAAGTTTGGCATCAGTAAGACTTTATTTGGAAAGAAATGAATACTTTTATTCAATGAAGATGCATTCAATTTCATCAAAAGTGACCGTAAATACTTCTAAATTGTTTAAAAAAATATTGAACTTTCTGTTCATCTAATAACCCTTAAAAAACTGTATCATGTTTGCCATGTTAACTGTTTTAAATGTTGATGATAATAATAAGAAATATTTCTTGAGCACAAAGTAAGCATATTAGACTACTATATTACAATAGAAAACAGTAACTTTAAATTGTAGCAATAGTAATATTTTACAATATTACAGTTTTGTACTGTATTTTTGTTCAAATGAGTGCAGCCATAAGAGACTTCCTTTTAAAATCATTAAAACATATTACTGACCCCAAACTTTTGAATGGTATTAAATGTATAAATATTTTTTATTTGATGTATAGCTGCATGATTAAGTGAAATAAAGGTGAAATCCCAATGGGGAATATCTTGATATTAGATGTTTATAATATCACAAAATCACAGCATTTGACAAAATAATCACAATAAGATATTTTGGTTAAAATCATGCAACCCTACACTGATTTATTATCTCTTTATGATAAGCACATCTGTTAATCCGTGCTGGCTGGTCATTTTAAATGTAAGCGGCTAGCACCAGTTGGTTGTCAATGACTTTTATGAAATTTGCCAGTGGAAACTGGTCCATAGTTTACCAGCAAGTTCTCCACCCAAAAGTACCCTGGAATGTTCCCTGCACAAACAAATATTTCATTTGACTCAGTCACAAATAATGAAAAATGCATCAGTGTTAACTTATTAACAATTAACGTGCTAGACTAGAAGAGTCCAGAGTCTATTTTTTGTGCTATATAATGTGGTGTAGGTCTACGTGCTTGGGTGGGTATCTGTTTAAAAAAAAAAAAAAAATTATTTTACACGAGGGTGCACGTGTTTGTTTTCGAAGTGTACGTGCTGACAGTTCCCTATGAGGACTCTTGAATTGTTTGAGTTGGTGGAATGTCACTTTTATGACCCTCCGGCCTGTAAATTTCATGTGCGAGCAGATGGACTGTCATTACTACAATAGTCTTTGTAATGGAAGCTGGTGAGAATGGCATGCTGGGGGTTCAGGGTAGAGAGGAAGCCTTTCGAGTTCATGTCTTGCCCTTTTTTTGACCAGTCCAAAGCTGCTCTGGAAACCCGGTCTAGGAGCCGTCTGAGGACGCAAAGGAAAGGGAGGAAAAGTAAAGGACGAGAGTTGTTTGAAAGTGACCAGGGAGTCATAGAAGGGAGACACACACACTGTTTTGAGGTTACAGGAAAAAAAGCAAACAAATGAGAAAAAGACCCGATAAGTGAGTCGATGTGTTTCTTTTTAAGAAGGAATGTTACAGTTTTTGTGTTTCCTTTCCCTGGTGACCCTTGAGTCACCTCAGACCCTGGGAAATCACAATGCTTACATATACAAAAACAATCAGAATTGTACTTTATATGTCCCTGAAGAACTTTTTTGTTTAAACAGTGAGTACCAACTCATGAACGCCTGCTTCAATGCACCTATGGCAGATACTTCCCATTCACTGTATATTCAGTGGCCTGAACGCCCCCACAGGAAGGAAGTTGTTGAGACTGTTGTATGTTTATATGGCGATTGGCCTTAGTGTGACATCACTCCAGATAATTTAAACAAACATCATGTAAACCCCACTACATGCTACTGTAAAGAGTGAGAGGGACAGAGAGACACTTATGGAAGGGAGGGAAACAAGTCAGATATAGAGTTTGTTCATGACCGTGGTCCTGTAGATGTACAATGGCGCTGACTCCTGAGCTGGCTGCACTCCAGATGGCAGGAGGCGCTGAGGGGGTTCACCTGGGTTTCCTTCATACCAGGGGGCCGTGACCCGGCCACGGTGTCCCTTGGCTTTTTTTTTTTTTTTTTTCTATGTGTGTGTGAAACAGTATGACTGAGGCCTGGAACTATAAGTGTGGAGCTGCTGCGGAGGAACAGGAAGTTGAACTCTGGTTGGAAATTCAAGCCGAGGGAGGGAAAGAATAAGGATGGCGAAAGAGAACAGGACAAGAGAGAGGTCAGAGCGCCCGTTGGAGGGTACAGCCTGTTCTTTTGTCAAGTTTGGCTGAAAAACTTAAATGGAAGACAATGTGTTTTAAGTTTTTCTTCACACTGCAATCAAACAATTGACATTTTTATGAATCTGAAGATAATAAAGTTCAAACGGACAGAGGAAAAAGATTATCCCGCTGGAGTGTTGGATTTAAAAGAACAGTGGACTGCAATATTTATGTGTAGTTGTAAAAAGTGTGACCTCTTTGCCTTAAGGTCTTGCACTCACCATAACCTCTTATTGTTTTTAAATTGCCAGAACACAGCCAAAATGAAATGGCATTTTTCTTTTTAACTCATATGACCTGAAGTGCAGACATTTAATGGTGATACTGTGTCAGAAATCCAAGGCTGGTGGAGATTTCCTGGGGTCACTTTGTACTCTTACCTCTGTTTGCTCTTGTAAAACTGTAGTGTAAAACAGTCACTGATCTCGACTAGACTCGACTCGACTCCTGGCTTTCTTTTCCTGTTAGTCTCCTGTACCGACTTCCAGCTCAAACTCCGCCTCTTTGCTCCTGATGGAACTCTGAACAGTGTCTCAAATCTCTAACAGTTCTGGTCTGTGTTCAGATCAGTAAAAAACAGAGACTGGTTGTGATGGGCCAGCTGCAGCGGGAAACCCTTGAGAAGGAGAACCACAGAGCAGGCCTCCATCCTATTCTCTGACCCAGAAAAGCACAACCAGGCATCAGAGGCACTAGACATTTGTGTAGGGAAGTTCAGTTGAACTTTAGCATGAATCTTTCCACGATAGTTGATCTTGGCACTGTTCTCCTTTTGATTTTGACTGTTTAGGTTAAGGAACATCTATATGAGATGGAGCATTTGGACTTGATTAACTGGGTTTAGACTGCAGTTGGTAGACCTGCTCTTCTCAGTCTAGTAACCGCACAAAAGTTTGTATAGCCAACAGGATGGACACACTCAGTTAAATTCCTTTCACACAGAACATAGCATCCTTCTCCAACATCCTTTTTGTTCCTTCTCCAAAATTTCTTTTTAAGGATTCTGAGGTAATATACATCTCTGTGTCTCACCGTATGTTGTGCAGGAGTCATTTTGCCATAGTTCGCAATGTTCAGTTTTGGGGAAGCTGCAGCTGCTCATAATTTAAAGCGAGTGGCTATGAATCATTTTTTAAATATGTTGATGAATGAACCATCTTAGTAAAATGAATCAGACTTCCCAACACTTTTTGTGAGAGAGAAGGTTTGTGTGTGTCGCACTTAGTGTTGAACAAGTTACTTTCTTATACTTTCTTTTTTGTGTTTCTCACTGAATTGTTCAAACTTCTGTCTTTCATTGTACTCTGAAGGCCTTTGTGGTCAAAGCATAGTATATTTTTGATCCCTGTTGTTATTAAAGGTTTCAGGTTGTTCTGAAGTAATTTGAAATTTGTATAATGCTTTTTCCATTTCTGCTGTTTTCTCCTTCAATTCTTATTTCTCAAACCTTATTCTTCTTCTCACATCATTACATCTGGGTGGTCTTGGGGTGGCGTAGCCTAGTTGTAAACTATTTGGGCTTGGTAACCGAATGATTGCAAGTTCAAACCGCCAAGGGTCTCAGTATCACTATTGTGCACTTAGTCAAGACTCTGGCATAAGTATTCTGTAAATTAGTAAAAATATCCCATTAAATCAGAAACTCAAAAACTTTAAAATCACAGTGACAATGTTTCCATTATTACGGAATAGCGTATTGGTGCCTGCATATTTTGCAACTGTATATTTCATTAAGTGATATAGTGGTAATATACCAATCTATTTGATGTACCAAATTCTGATTTGTACTTTTAAAATGTACTAATAACCACCACAATAATACAAGTGGTAAAATGGAAAGCTGCATTATGAATCAGTTTTAATCGCAAGTGGTCTGTCTATGAAACATTCATAGACACAAAGACAAAACACTATCAAGTTAACATGTGTGAGACTAAAATAATGCATTAAACATAAACTAAATTATAAATATATCACAAAACACCCTAATGCACATTACGTATTATTAATTTATAGTCATGTCATGTTTCACACAGGGACTTGGAATGTACTTTGACTATTTTTCACTATCTTAATGTGATTAATTAATGCGATAGTGGATAGTATATACTTGCAAAAAACAAACTTAAAGGGATACTTCACTTTTTTTAGAAATAGGCTCATTTTACCACTCCCCCAGAGTTAAACAGTTGGGTTTTACCATTTTCGAATGTCTTCAGCCGATTTTTTTTGATATTTAGAAGAATATCAGTAACCAGACAGTTTGAATAAAATAGAAATTTTGACGCTTACACCATCAATATTCGTTGGCAAAGATGTTTTAGAATGTATCCATTCTTTAGATTTCTTTCCAGAAATAATTTGGATTATGTTTTTGCAGTTTCCTTGTGAGTCAGACCTCATTGTGTTTTCATTCCTCTTTATGAAATGTCGGGCATATTTAAATGCCCGTTTTTTTCTATATATTCAAAATAAGGGACAATGTTTATGTCTACCATGACTTCATGTGTGGTATGCATTTTCTTAGTGTATCACGTTAGCTTAGATTTGTCAAACTCTTTTGGAATCAATTGACATAGAGAAGCACTATTAGTGTGCCGTGCAGTGCTATAGCTGGTCCAGTCATGTCCTGTTGTATTAGTCACCCGCTCCGTCTAGACAAATTTAGACACTTGACCAGGTAGTGATAAGTCGTAAACTTATTGCTGCTGTTTTCTGTCTTTATCTCTTTATCTCTCTGTGTGTGTGTGTCTGTGTTGTTTCTGCGCTCTTTTCTGACTGGGACGTGTGTGCATGTGTTGGTGTAATTCCCTTACAGACTTTGATAGCAGTCTGTGTGAGGTGGACAGGAACTGCACTTTGGGATTCTGGGAAAAGGGTCAAGTCTTTAAGGGCTGAATGAGTGCCTTTGTTTTTAGACCACAAGCCTCTGCTGCACTGTATTCTGAGTCATACTATGAGATTAGAAGAGAGAGTACCTGATATGGTGTTTTTTTTTTTTTTTTGTTAAAGTTTAGCTTGGTCTCTACAAGTAGGAATCTGTGTCCCTGTGTCAACTGCTTCTTTCCGTCTTTACCTTCCCTCTCTTGTTTCATTTTGAGCTTTTCTGGTGAGCTTTTCTGGTGGTTTCTCAGTGGTCACAGAGCTGTTCACAAAGATTGAGAGCCATATTCTCACTTGGGTGCTTAGAATGTGTATCTGCCTTACACAGGGTGCCCGGGACACGTTTGAGAACTACTACAGGAAGCAGCGGCGGAAACAGGCCAGACTTGTGCTGCAGCCTCACTCTAACATGGTACGCCCTTACACCGCCTGAGAACATGTCGTGTCTAACTGTCTGTCTGACTCCCCCCTATAATATTCACTGCATCACCCCAATCACTAACATCACCTGACATAAACTCTCAGGAACTGTGAGGTGGTAAGTCATAACATACAAATGTATACATAGTTGACATGGATGCATACAATGAACTTGACAACAATGTATAGTTAATTTAGGGCCTGAAAATTCAAATGGGGACCTCTACTGTAGATGTGTTTATATAGAGTTTTCATTAGCTTGCACAACGATTGGAAAATGAGGTTGAACCATCGTTCCAGCTAAAATATAGCTCAGTTGCACTTAATGTTGATGTCATTACAAAATACCTCAGGTGTACACTACTGTTCAAAAGATTAGGGTTAGTAAGTTTTGTTTGAAAGAAATTCATACTTTTATTCAGCAAGGACAAATAATAATTGATCAAAAGTGAAAGTAAAGACGTTACAATATGTTTTCTGTTTCAAATAAATGCTTTTCTTTTGAACTTTCTATTCAAAGAACCCTAAAAAAAATTATCACAGTTTCCAAAAAATATTGTGAATATTAAGCAACTGTTTGTAACATTGATTATTATAGAAATTGAGCACCAAATCAGCATATCAAAAGATTTTCTGAAAGATCATGTGACACTGAAGTAATGATTCTGAAAATTCAAATTTATTTCTTATTTTCAATTAGATTTTAAAATAAAATAAAATGGAAAATCGTTCTGTTTTACTGTATTTTTGTATCTGTGAGCATAAAATACTTTTTTCAAAAACATGAAAGAATTTTACTAAACCCTAAGTTTTGACTGGTAGTGTATACTGAAGTGTTGAAGACTTTGCTGAATGTGATTGTTATTCACTTTCAGCATATTTATTTGTTATTTTGATTTGATTATTTGATCAGAAATATGACTTATTATTGAGAACATTTTTTCAAAGAAATAATGAATTCTAAAGCAAGTGAAATAAAAATGTTTTGCATCATTCTAGTTTATTTCAGCAATAATAATAATAAACTATTGTAGTAGATTGCTCAATTGACTGATGTTCATAAACTTTCTCCTGTGGTCTCCAGCATGAAACGTTAGAGGGATACAGGCGCTACTTCAATCAAATTGTTGGGTAAGTGAAGTGCACGTTTTATTTTGAATGGCCAAATGAACTGAAAATCAATTATACATGCTTTGTAATGTTTTTAATATAGGAGAGAATTAAAACAGCTGAATCCTTTTATTGGCTCAGTGTTCAGACCCTCCCTTTTGCCAAACGCTCCCCTTCCTCTGGCCCTTCCTGATTCTCCATCCCAGTGCTGCCGGAAAACTCTCCGAGCTTTAGAATTTATGGTTCTGGAGATGTGGAGTGGCAGATTGGTGTTATTCCGAGTGTCTGGATGGGAATATTGGGAAGGCCGGTGTCTGGAATGGAGGCTTTTGCAAACATCCAAAATGGCACAAAAAAGGCTCAGGGAACTCTCACAGTGGGATGTCTGGGATTTTTTTGGGATTGTTGCTGGCCTGTTTGATGACTCTGATTCCTTTGTGTGCTGGACAGCCTCAGTGTGACCATTTGGGATATTAGTGATGTAGTTTAATGAAATGTTTTTGTAAAGTCCTCACTGTTTCTCTTTCATACCCTTTCTTTATATATGTCCTGCAGTTTTTTTGTAGTGGAGGACCACATCTTGCACACCACGCAGGGCCTGGTAAACAGGGCTTATGTGGAAGAATTGTGGGAGCTGGCTCTTTCCAAGACTATTGCAGCCTTGCGTACTCATTCAGTATGTCTGCACACTACACACTCAACACACACACTGAGCAAGACAAGCCAAAAGACAAGCAGTAAATCTGTTTAGTCAAGGCATCAATTTGAAGGCCAACCTGGAAGGCTAATTCACCATGACTTCCCTCTGGAATTTCTGATGGGTTTTTAGGATAGTGGTTTTCTAGTACCATAAGGTGGTGACCGATACTCGAAGACACAGTGCTTTCACATTTCGTGTCACATTACCTTTCAAAAGTTTGCAGTCGGTAAGATTTCTAAAAGCTATTTTTGAAAAAAGTCTCTTATGGTGGCCATTGGGTCTGTGAAAGCGCTATATAAATGCAGTCCATTTACCATTCACTCTAGAGAGAGCACAAAAAGACGGTAAAAAAAAAAAACTATTGTAACTTCACCGTACATTAAAAACATGAAGCTGACTGTCAAGCGAGTCGCGACAAAAATAGTCTGCATGCTTATAATGACAACTACAGTAAAAATATGAGCTTTTAGGTGTTTTCATTCAGCGAGTCTTCAGCAATACCTGCGTTTCGATCAAATAACACCAAAGCTTGTCATTTTCTTCTGAAAAAGATATTTAAGAACTTAGGAAACTTAAGATCACTTAGGAAAATTACCAACTTTTTAGAATCTATCTTCAGAATTTTCTTAACTTCTTTTCATGGAGATTTTCCTGAATCCGGTCCCTGTTTTCCTGTGATGGATGTGTTTTTTCCCCTAGTGTGCCATTTCTCTAGTGTTCAGTGGTGCATGGTCCTTCAGAAATATTTTTTTCATGATTCTTTTATGAATAGAAACTTAAAAAGAACAGCATTTATTCAAAATAACCCTTGATGAATAAAAGTAATAATGTCTCCCCACCCATAACTCTCATCTGTGAGAAACTCATAAATTGAAAACCCTTCTCTAAAGCCTATTAAAATTCAGAGGGAACGTATGGCTCAAAAAGACCAACCCTCCTCTGGGTTTTAGGACTACAAACCAAACAGTTAAATTACCAGATGCAATACAATTGTAACATACTTATTTGCTAAATAAATGTTGCATAAAATATAGATCTCTCTTTATTTATTTTTTTTTTTTTTGCATTTATACCAATTAATCTTAATCCTTATCTGCTTCTGCTGTAATCCATCACACTCTCTTGTGTCTTTTGCAGTCTTATTGCACTGATCCAGACCTGGTTTTAGATCTGAAGAATCTCATAGTCCTGTTTGCAGACACTCTGCAGGTGAGTTGGGGAAGTACCTGACCATTAAGACAGCAGGTTGTGCTCTTGTTTATATGGATAACGTCTAAGAACAAGGGGTGTCAAATGATTCGATTTTTATTTAAATCAAGTTTTGTGACAACAAATTTTGTGACAAACAAATACAGCATTGAATAAACATTACAAAAAGGTTCAGTATATATATTGTTTGTTCCGTTTGATATAATGCATCATAATGCATATCATTCAGTCAACTGCAATGCAGTCTCAAGTTAAAAGTAATGTGCCTTAAGATCCCTGCATTCTCATTGTCTTTGAATGCAAGTACGTATGTCAAAAACACAAATACTTTTTGGCATGTTTTCAAGCTTGAATTACTTAAAAAAATATCTTATTTAATAATTTACATGCGTGTTTTGGAGACATGACTAAATGTGTGTTTTCTTGTAAGAAATAATTTGGACAAATGTAAATGTATAAACATTATTTCATTCCGATTTCTGCTGAGAGTTGCATGCATTACTTCCTGTTTTCAACTGAGCTGGGTATTATCCACCCGTCTCTTCCCCCCTCTCTCTCTCTGCAGGGTTATGGTTTTCCAGTAAACCAGTTGTTTGACATGTTGCTGGAGATGAGGGATCAATATGGGGAGATACTGCTGAAAAAGTGGAACCAGTCCTTCAGGTGCTTTCTGCCTCTCTTTTTCTCTCTCCCTTTTCTCTGTTTTCTTCATCTCTAAGGATAATGATGATTTGGTTATCACCTTATGACCCTTGAGAAATCCATACTGAAGTAATTATACTAATAGGGTTATGCCCAAATGTAAGGCACTGCCAGTTTTTAATCGGGTTATGTTTACTGTACATCATTTGTTCTGATCTGCAATGCAATACTTGGTTAACCAATCATCCATTTTTTAATGAAATATCCATTTTTAATGCTCTCTATCAAAGTACCATTTAAAGAAATTGCCTGAATCTTATACCTGTAGTGCCTAGAGATTAATGTTTGCAGAGGCTGTGGATTACAGGACAGTTGAAGGACAGAGAAATTTTGTCAGGCCAAACTATTAAACTAAAATTACTGATCAAATTACACCCATATGACTAAATCATATTGCTTGAAGGACAATATTTTCTTTTTTTTTTGTGCTGGCGATTCTTTAAAGAGAATTTAATCCAAAAGAATGTCAATTCGTTGTTGAATTTTTTTTTGTGTTAAATCTCCTTGACTGAATCTTTAGAGCAGATGACATGGAAAGGTTGTCGTAACCTTGCTGGAGTTGTTTTTAGATCCCTGTCCGAGACACTTGACTCACTCCATTAAAGAGTGATGCTCTGGAGTCTTTGAATGACTCAGGATATCATTACTGTGGGAACAGGCATTCGAGGAAGATCTGTTGTGTGTGTTAGTTAGCCTTGACTGAGTTACACAAAAACACACACAGACTGCAATGCTCATGAGTCCAGTAAATGGTTTTTAGATTATTTAGTCTTCTTAAATGTCCTGCTGTTGTTCTCAGGTTTATAATCTGTTCATCTGTGAAGTCAGGTCTTTTCCCTTCACACTTAGGCAAATCTTAGATCAGGACAACTACAGCCCCATTCCCGTGGCGTCCCCTGACGAGTACCAGCGGATCGCAGGCCAATTCCCCTTCCAGGATCCAGAGCTCGAGAAGGTGAGCATTAGGCACATAAGAAAGCTTTTATCCTAGAGATTTTTTCTCACAGATTCCCTCAGTTACACACCCTCCAGTCTCAACAAAGACATAAATATCCTCCTGCTGTCCAAGAAGTTGATTGCTAACATGCGCATCCTCTGAAATACTTGAACAAAGCCATACATGTGAATTGTCCCATTGACGTCAACAAGAACTACTGCCCAATACTGTTGTAGTAATTAAATGATGCTACCATTCTTGGTGATACATCCACTTGCAGCTGTTCTTTTTCATGCAATAAGGCTGCCTTTGTGTTTTCTTTTTAATTCCTGGTGCGCTCTATTAACAGCATTTGTTGCGAATTGTCTATATTTTTTATTTCGACCACAAATTTGTAATATTTTAAGCACTTACAATGGAAGTACACAGGGCAAGGCAGCTGTTAAAATACATCCCAGGAATAATATATTACAGCAATCTCTTAATTCTTGACTAAAGATAATTTCTTAAATGATGTTATCATTTTTAAAAAAGAAAAATGTGTTTCTGTTATACAGCCCCTGAACCCACATCGAATGAACGATTTAGACTTTATAGCTCAAATAAATGTTTAAATAATAATTCACATACTTTAGTTTATATTTCTGATTTCATAAACCCTCCAGAACACTTGCTCTATGTACTGTGATTTATTTATTTGTTTATTTTTTATTCATTTACTCATATTTATTTTTCTCTAAACAGATGCCTTTTCCGAAGAAGCTGCCATTTTCTGAATTTGTGCCGAAAGTATACTCCCAAATCAAAGAATTCATCTACGCCTGCCTGAAATACTCTGAGGACTTGCACCTTAGGTACGAGCGTTCACACATACGTTAATCTGTTTCACACCTGCATATACAACCCTTTTGTCCTAATGTTCTCATTAGCAAACCATGCTGCTTGGATGCCAGTTTATGTACCTATTTTTGCACTGCCTTTTTTGAACCTTTCATTTTTCTGTTATGAAATCACTAAACCCGCCCCATTGTCTTTGCCTATCCCCTAGAGTAGCCGCTGAGCCTCAGAGAGGAAGTTCTGTCTGCACCAAACAGTTTCTGTGTGTTTTCCTAATTAATTGCGTGCTTGGTGCTAGTGGGTGTTATTTCAAGGAATTTCTCTTAGTGTTGACTGATCTCTGGTCAGTTTATGAGTTCTTAGAATTACTGATGAGGTTGCCAGATGCGCCGAGCTGTTTAGTGTGGCCTACCCTGAATTCCCAGTCTTCAGACTGTTGGACAGAATAAATGGCTCTGTGAAATGCTGCTTTGGTATGATCTCCATTTATGATATTTCTCAGAAGAAAAGTCCATTTCACAAGTGTAGAAAACAAACAGTTGTGAAAACAGCACTTGTGGATTTCCCAATAAAAGACCTGCTTAGCAACCTGTTATATAATGTCAGAGAGTAAAATGAATGAAGGCAAGTTGTTGCTCATGATGCTTACGACACCCTGTATAATAATTTTTAAGTGATTTGCTCGTACCAATCAATTTGTGCTATGGAGATGAATGATACCACAAATAGTGGTAATGATTAGACTTACAATTTTCATCTGATGGGTGATAAAGAGGCAACATTTTTAATTCAGGAGTGTTTTAGGGAGCAGACTTTGGGAATAGAATTGCACCAGTGTAATCTAATTATTCAATTTATTGTGAGTTAAGACCATTACATTTTAAAAATGCTTTTACAAGGATTCTGGAGTCCACTATTGTAACGGCACAGCCAATCAAAATCCATCCAACTTTAAAGTATGTGGTGCAATCACTTTACCCTTTATTCCAAAAGGATACGTTCAATTGATAAGACAATTGTCAAATTATTTTGATTTCAAATAAATGCTTTTCTTTTAAACTTCAAGCAGGTTTCATTGCCGTGTCACCTCTGTTTAGGAATGAACCTTTTTAAAGTCTTTAAGCATTCATCTCCCAACCACCCCTTAACCTCAGTCACGTTGTGTTGCGATCTGATATCTCATCCCTTCTCCTAATACCCTGAATGGAACAGTAGGTCAAGGGGTCGAGGCTAAAGGTCACTGTCTGTAGAACTGTCGTTGGCATTTCCGTCTTCCTCCTGATTGAGCAGTGCTCTAAGACGAGTCCTCTGAGTCGTGATCGTTTGATGTTCCCTGTCTGTGGCTCTTTGAGTGCCTCGTCAGGTCTGGTTACTTTAGAAGCGGATGTCTCAGTTGGATATCCTAATTCTTGTGTGCGTGTTTGTGTAGTTATTGCAGTTTAGAGGTTTACTAAGGAAATGAGGACACGTAGAAACCGGCAACCTACCAAATTACTACTCCATTATCATCATCATTAGTGATTAGTGTCTGAGACATTGTCTAGCCAACCAGACACTCTTAACAGTGTCGCCTGAAGAGTGGTCCGATAGAAGATGCCTATAGCAGTAGAAAATACGAATGTATTTCCCGACTCGTTGGCTTAATTTCAAGCTATGATTGCCTGTCCAGGACTACCTGTGCTGTGAAAGTATTGTTTTTGGATATATATATATATATATATATATTCTACAAGCACTGCAAGAATGACTTTAAATGAGCAATAATACCTTTTTTCCTGTCTGATGGAGTCTGTGCGTGCTAAATTCTCCTAGACTGTCCAGATCCTGGAGAGAGTGTAGCTGCAATGGACGTTGAGTGCAACTGCTTGGTTTATGTCAAAGGTGTCAGAATATTTGGCTCAGTCCAATCCCGCCTGCAGGATGATTACATGAACTTATTGAATCTACAGGTATTCATACTGGTGAATGAACTGTGTAAATCACTAAGTTCCATGTGCACACAGTAAGAAAGCATTTTGTCCAATTTGGTCCTCAATTATAAATGATACACCCTTGAATTAGATGGATAAATATACAGAACATAATCAAAAATAATTTATTACACTGTTCTCTAGAATGCTTGATTCTGTCTGATCAGTTTTGGCATTCTGCAGTCAAATATTTTTGTATAATGATGATCACTAAATATTATCCTTTACTTAGTGGTAAAATCCAAACATTGGCTTTTAGACTCCACAGGAATAATAATCAAAAAGGAGCCTTTTTGGATTTAGCATTTGTATTGTGTTTTAAAGGTGTCCGTGTCATATATAATTCGGTATGGATGTTGGCAGAGAAAACTGTGTTGGTTTTATTGGGACCCCTACCAAGAGTTTGGCTACTCACTACCTCCTCACTTCCACCAGTCATGTCCTATGTGGTTTTCAGAACGTGGCCGGTCCCCGTGCTCAAATGTCAGTTAAAATTCAACAATAAACATCTGACCTCTTTTGGCTGCGCTCGCAGTAGTCTTTGCCTCGGCGTGTGGGGTCCAAGGGCTCCAGATCAAGCCAAAATCCCCTGTACACCCAGCTAATTTAAGAATACTGTCAAATAATGGCTCGACTCACTGGATTTTTTTCGTATTTGACATATTTGTAAAAATGGATCTCTATTAGCACAAGCGCAATTGAGTAAGAGGGCAGGAGGCGGCCAGGTGGCGTTCAACCAGAGGTCTCAGATGGTGGGGTCAGGATGCTGGGTATGCGTGTAGTGTATGGGTTGTATAGAAGAAAAAGCCGGCCCTGTTGCCATTGGTAACGGAAACGAAAACAAAATGATTGACACACCAAAGGAGCAAAAGAACAGCTCTGCTTACTACCCAGACTAGTCCACCGGAGGCAATTAGTCCTTGTGGTCTCCCTCTACTAATATTGAGATGAGATGTGGTCAGAGGGGGAGGTAAGGGGCTCAAGTCCATGTGCAGGTGCCTGGAGACCAGACGTCAGGAATGTATGCGACTCCCCCAACGCATGTCCAGCGAACTTTAGACCTCCCTCATGAGAGCCGCTTTACAAATGTGCATTTACCATATTAACCTGAAGTTCCCCTTGAGTTGAAGCTAGCTGTAACGTTACTCTTTGTGATGGTTGAATAGCTAATAAACATATGTTCTGTGCTAGCCGTATCTGTCTCGCGTTCTTCTTCTGTTTAGTTTCTCTTTTTCTAATGAAGTTAATTGGACATTTTCAGTCTCCGTTGGTTCCCTTCTCATCTGTTTCTCTCAGATCATTGTTTATCAGTCCAAACTCCCACCCTAATTTTCACTGAATAAGTGAGAGAGTTGAATGGATGAATAAATCAAACGTAAATGCCAGTAAAACGTCTGTGTTTAATCAGACTACAATTTCTCTTTCTGTATTGCAGCCCCCCTCCCTCTTAAAATGAGGAATAGCCAGAGGCTTTTGGATTCATCCAGACACTGTCAGTTTCCAGATTGTCACTAAAGACCAATGCCTTGCTTTCTAGTCCTCAATTTAAAGCCAGGCCTTTCCCTAGTTGAGGTTCAATGCTATACTAGGAACATTTCCATATTGTAATGTTCAAAATCAGAGCCGTGTCTTGGACTAACCTAAAAATTGCTGAAATTTGAACAAAAGTCACAAAACAAAAAGTATCTCATTCACCATGATTTTGTAGCGTCACATTTGACGCTAATATTATAATCTGTATGTAGGTCTGCAAGCAACTTCTCAGCATCTTGTGGTTGAATAGCACCTCCATTTCTCCCCTTTTGACCTCCAACTCTCTGCTCCTTTTAGCTCTCCTGTTTGCCAAGTCAGCGGAGAGAGCTCAGAGTTTTTTCCCCCTCTGAGGAGAGGAACGTTTTTCAAATTCCTCCTCTGCTTTTCTCAGCACAATGAGAGACGATTTAGTAATTTGTGAGGAATGCGTTTGTTGCCCAGATCGAGGGGGAAAACTATTGCACCCTGGGCCTTGGCTCATATTGATGGACAATTTTGAGACATATTGTCCCTTTCTTTCTTTTTACTCTTTTTTTTTTTATTATTATTTGTGAACCAGTCTGTGGGGAAGGAAGAAGATGCAGCTGCAGCCATTCTAACAAGTACAGGAACGATGGCTGACAAAATTAGCCCCTTTACTCCTCCCCACCCCATTGTAGAAAAGAAGAATAAAGAAAAGTGATATCCCCCTTTTTCCCTTGTGTTGATTTAAAACGTAATATCTGTGTGTGGTTGTTCTCTGGTTTTTGGAGGGTGTTATTGGGCCCTGATGAGTGGTTTTAAATCCCGCCCATGTCTGTGAGTGTTCATGTGTGTACATCTGAGAATCTTGCATCTATTTGGATCAAGGCTGAGATTAAAACACATTGGACTATGAATGACTGCAAAAACTTGTTTGTGATTTTCCACTCCTTATGTTGGGTCTTAAAGAAAACGATACCAGTAGCACAAAATGCATAGCAATTTCAGAATTTGTACAGTAAAAGTTTTTTTTTTTTTTTTTGTCTGGAAGTTTTTTTTAATGTTTTTGTTCACCCAGGCTTGATTTATTTGATAAAATAGAAAAACAGCAATATTGTGAAATTTTATTAAAATTAATTTACTTTTGAATGTAATTTAATGATGGCAAAGCTGAATTTTCAGCAGCCATTAGAAATTAGAAATCATTCTAATATGCTGGATTAGTGCGTTATTATAATTTTGTGGAAATCGGGATACAGTTTTTTTTTTCAGGATTCTTTGATAATTAGAATGTTTAAAAGAACAGCATTTATTTGAAATGGGAAACGTTTGTAACAGGATGAATGTCTTTATTGTGTTTTCTGATAAATTTGCATTATTGCTTAAAGTATTATTTCTTACAAAAAAAACCTACAGACCTATTGAAAACATGTAAGATATTTTATATAACTTAAAAGGGATATAAGGGATCTGGTGTTGGTGATGCAAGACACACCCCAATACCGTTACACTTGGTCCACAATGTTCCTCCAATCCTATTATGTGGTTATGGATTTGCATTATAGACATAAATATGTGCATATATAACTGTATTCCTAATTAGATGAATGTTCATGTTCAGCTCAACAGAAATTGACGACATGATCCGTAAATCTACAAATCTCCTGCTCACACGAACCCTTAGCCACTGCCTACAGTATGCCATAAAGAAGAAAAACGTAGGACTGGCAGAGGTGAGGTTCTTTTTTTGTTTCTCTTCCATTTGTGTCTGTGATTATTTGCACACATCTATGTTGTTCTTTATTGATGTCCGTTTCAATCCAACCTCAACAGTGAGTCTCTGTCTGGATCACTGGAAAACTGTTCTTGTGCAACACTATAATATTATCATCTTGTAGATACACCCCTTTAGTACCATTTTTCTCTCACTCAAGATGCGAAATAACTACAGTTTTGGTGAATACCAGTCGCTCAGACTATTTATTACTATTTCTATAGAATGTTTTACCCATATTTTACCCATTTAATTACCCACCATTTTTATTTTTTCATTCAAACATATAAAACAACTGCCTATGTACTGTTTGTGAAATTGAAGAATTACATTTTGCAAGCTATATCATGTTATTATCTTATCCAGTCTATTGTCTACCTGCAAAGAACACATTGACCCAGCAGCTTTTCATTATTATTAATGAAACAAACCATGAAACCATTGCTTGCTATATCTAAACACCATTTCAGGTCAAAGCCCAATCTGAGGCGGATTTTTTGCAACAGTAACAGCAGATAAAATGACCTGTCATTGGCTGGTAGCATGTGTCATTTTTCCCCCTCTTTGCTCTCACTCCATTCCTGCTTTACTTTCCCCGTGTTTATCGCTCAAATGTGGTTAGTTTCTTCTCTGACCTGCTGATTCTCCCTGCAGTCAGGTCTGTTTATGACCCCTGATGGTAAAATGATGAAAGAAATGCAGAGGAAGAAAGATAGACATTCAGTGTTGTATTTTGATAAAGCAAAGGCTTTATTATTGTTTTCTGGTAGTTTGCATCGCAAAGTCTAGTCTTACTACTACCATTACACACACACACACACAAGATCAGATATCAAGCTCCTTCCTCCCCCTCTCCTGCCCCGGATCTGGTGGAGGTGCGGAAGTGTGACCCGGGCTCTGCATCAGGCTTCCCTCCCTTGCGCGGTGCACCATGACTGGAGAGAGGGAGGGAAGAGTCCAAACTAAAGGTCTGGCCTCAATTAGCACCAATGCGCATCAGCGCCTTGCTGCTGACAGCCCTGCCCTGCCTGTGGACCTCAAACACTGCACCACAGACCGTCTAACTAGAGCTGCTCTAGGTCTGCGTCCCACAGACAAACCCTCTCTGTCCCTTTAACCATACCCTTGACTTCCTCTCTGTACCCTTTCCCCTTTAGAATTACTCCCACATAGTGCTTTTGCTAGTTATTGCTCATACTTCTTGAATCTTTTCCACAAACATTGATTTTCTCTTTGACCGTACTACATGGTTTTACTAAGTTCTGATAAAAAATAGCTGCATTATTACTAAAAGAAAAGCTCTGTAAGATGTAAAAATGTTAATCTATCTACGTAACTGTTTAAATCGTTTACAAAGTGATAAACACACTACCACTAAAAAAGTTTTTTGAAAGTTTTGAAAGTCTCCTTAAGCTCACCAAGACCAATATATTTGATCAAAAATACAGTAGAAATAGGAGAATTTTGAAATATTACTGTCATTTTAAAATAACTTTTTCTTTTTTAATATATTAAAGTCATTTATAAAAGTAATTTAATGCTGTAATGGCAGTCTAATTTTCAGCAGCCATTACTCAAGTCTCAAGTGTCAGATGATGCTTCAGAAATCATTCTACTGATTAGAATCGTCACTTTACCGTCAGCATAACATGATAGATTAGATTTAATGCTTAATCTTTGCTGAATAAACATTTTAATTTCCTTCCAAAAGAAAAGTTACTTACCCAAACCTTTTAAATGTTAATTTACATTGTAAAAAAATATTTTCAAAGTTGTAAATGGAGGGTATGCACTGCTGAGTGGCAAAAAGACTAAGTGGCAGTGTTGTTGTTGAACTTGAATTTTGTATTTCATCAAATTTATTTGCATCACACTTCACAACACACAATGTTTCCCAGCTCCTTTATATATATGATGGTTCACACTTACTCCGTTTGCAGTGCATATTTTTTTCGTGCCCATGTTAACAGGTTTGCGCATTCACACTGCTCACTGATGCGGTCCGGAAATGCATTCCAGGAATAGCGTCTGCAGCAGTGCAGCGATCAAGATTTGCTGTGCTAAATTAAAGTTACTGCACATTGTTCACATAAAAATAGACATGGATTGGCATGAAAATGTTGTAATTTCATCATAAATGCATATTAATAAACTCTACAGTTTCATAGTCAACATGAAAAACTACAGCTGAGTTTTTTTCCCAGGCTAAAGCAAGGAAAACTACACCTTACCTCAACCAGGCGACCTCTCTATGTGGAGGTGGAAAAACTAGTTCTTTAAGACCCACAGGATTTCTTGTATAAAGATTTAAATAAAAGAAAAAGCGTGAGAGTGAAAGATGTAAAAATGTTAATCTATCAACGTAACTTGTTTAAATCGTTTACAAAGTGATAAACACTACCACTAAAAACTTTTTTGAAAGTTTCACCAAGACCAATATATTTGATCAAAAATACAGTAAAAATAGGAGTATTTTGAAATATTACTGTCATTTAAAAATAACTTTTTCTTTTTATATATATATATATATATATATATTAAAATAATTTATAAAAGTAATTTAATGCTGTAATGGCAGTCTAATTTTCAGGAGCCATTACTCAAGTCTCAAGTGTCAGATGATGCTTCAGAAATCATTCTACTGAATTCTTTGTGAAATTTGCTAGCAGTTTCTGAGTGAAAATTGTTTCTAAGTGAATCCTACACCATTTTCACTACAACATAGTTCAAAAGCATACAAATCTTCACTTTTTTACGCTAGTAACTAATTGTGCTGTATCAGCCAAAAATGGATTAGTCTTAATTTGAATCACATTTGATTCCCTAAGTTGGTTCAGATCATCATCAACACCACTCACCTGGAGCAGTCCTGTCACTACCTAGAAGGGTTCATCTCCAACATAACCAACGTGCCTCCTGACACCATTAATGCCACCAAACTCTATGGAACCTCAACCTTCAAGGTAGGAACCTGCAGCTTGTGGTGTCATTCCCTCCCCTCCATTAATTGTATGAATTATTATTTAGTATTTTTAACATGCATGTTGTGCCTGTTTACTACTTTCTTTCTTCATTCTTTGTTCCTCTTTGTATAGGACGCAAGGCATGCTGCTGAAGAGGAGATCTACACCAACCTGAATCAAAAGATTGATCAATTTTTGCAGCTGGCTGATTATGATTGGACGGCAGTACAGGGAGGTGGACAGGCCAGTGACTACCTGAGTGACCTCATTGCTTTCCTCTGTAGCACCTTTGCAGTGTTTACTCACCTGCCCGTGAGTATTTCGTCCACATGCACATTTTTTTTTGGACATAGATTACCTGAATGCTTTTTAGTTGCATATTATTTGTACCCAGCCAAGGAGAGATTATGGTTCTGTGAGGATCCTGGGCGCCATCTTAAACTCACCTTACCTAGAAAAGGATGGGCATACAGCACAAGCTTTTTTTGTAAACAGTGTTCAATACAAGAACTTAAAGATGTTTTCAGGGGGTTAAGATGTTATTGAATCGTTTAATAGTGGCTTTACATTCTGGAATTTCACTTAATGCTCACTTCTTTCTTTTTTTGCAAGTAGCTCTCAGACACGCACTGCCATTCTCTGTTGCTTATTTGCATCAGTTTTAGATACATCAATAAATGAATAATAATTGGCCTCGGCCCTGTACACAGCATTTTCTGCCTGAGCTTGTAGTCGTATCTCCTATTTAACTCCATCACTTTGAAGAAGATTGTCCTCACACAGTACACTTGAACTTTAACAGAAAGCTAAGTAGGGTCGTAGCAAGTAAGAGGATTGGAGTGTTCTGGGCTTGTAAGCGTCTCTGTGGCTCAGCTGACATGGAGTTAAAGAGATTGTGTGGCGTGACCTTAGGTCTCAGCTTTAGTGAAGGAAGTCTAGCACTGGCACAGCCCGGTCCTGACCCCTGTCATGGGGGATTTCTGACAATCTAAGTATTTAGGAGCTTTCCCTCCTACGGGCCTCAACCAAACACCTTTCCGTGTCGGCATGACTGGCTGGGATTGTCTCTGATCCAGGGCTGGTGGCGGTAATGCTGCTTCCTGCGCTCCTGTAATCTCTTAAATTCCTTTTTCTAAGCTTTCAGTAAGAGGGAAGTACAACCCTTTCAGCCCACTGCAAAACAGCGCTCACATTGTTGGCTGAATTTCACCAACAGGGGGCAATATTTTTACGACCCCAGGTCAGGTTACGGTCAGGCTGAATGTCTCATTTTCTCCATCTACACGTACACAACAGTGCACCACAGATGTACAGTCAAGCGATCCTGCTTATATTATTGTCTTAGCACATTCCAGCTCTACATGTGAACATAGTGCATCCTGATTCACTCAGCCCCATCTGCGCAACCTCACCATGTCCCCAGTTCACACTCCTGATGGTTTTCAGGAAAGGTCAAGAACTGACCGTTTGTGTGTGTGGAAGCGACCCTGCCATCAACTTCATTGCCAAAAACTCTGATAATGACTCCAAAGCCACAGTCCCATCAGTCACACTCGCTTGCTCGGCCTCTCTCGCCCGACCACAAACCATCTTTGACACTCAGAGGGACTTTCAGTGTTGATCGTAAACTCTTTGGCCAAGTTGATACGGGAGAGTGTGGTTGACCGACTTCACATTTGAACCCAGGGGGAGTCATACTCGACCTTTGACCTAAATTTTGTCTTTATCTATCTTCTGTAGGGCAGTTCTATAGAGCACGCCACACTACCGGTGAGTATGTTTGCGGTGTGGTCTAACTCCAGCAATAACCTTGGCCAGTACTTCCGCATGCTGCCTGGTGTTCATCTGACCTACTCATAGATGTTTGGATGCGTTTTAATGCTTGTTATGGAACACAAATGAGGCGCCTGAAGCTGTGAGAGTAGTCCCTTAGGTTCTTGGTATTTATTTGTAGACTTTTACCATAAAATTCAGATATTAATTGGTGAGATTTTTGTGTGCCTTGCACCGATAATGTTACCGTACATAGATTTAAAAGCAAAGTAAACAATCCTCTTAAACTGCGACAGTAGATGTTTGTATAAAACCGTGAACTGACAACTTAAAGCATCATGTGATGGCAATTTTCAGTTTTTCTTGATAGAACTGAATTACTGGCAGAGCACTTTTGGATTGTGGAGCTGACTTTTTTCCATAACATTCTGTTTCTACATGGTGGTCTGTTCATCGACTGACATTTGAGTGTTTTTGCTATCTGATCCATAAAACCTTTGTGTGCAGGTTTGTTATTCAGTGTGTCTCTGTTGCATTGACTTTTCATTATTGAGCTGATATTGGCAAAATGCTCTCAAAATGTGGCAGCTCAAATGAGGAGCTTTATCTTGTAGTGTCTGATGCAGCCACAACATACAGTAGATGTCCACCCTATCTGCTAGTAGAATTGGCTTGCTTTGTTTAATGTGGAAGTAGTTTTGTTTCAAAGTATTGAAAGTCTCCCATTTTTAGTCATGTTTACTTTGCTGTACATTTTAAAGGAAGCTGAACTCTGTACGGCTTCATCATCACATCATCAATTGTTGCCGTTGCTCATGTTGCCTTAAATCACCAACATTTGAATGTCAGTGACTTACACTAGCGTCAACAAGTTTGGGGTCAGTACGATTTTGTTTTTGAGAGTAAAGATATTTTATAATGTAACAAAATATTTTTATTTCAAATAAATGCTGTTCTTTGGAACTTTCTAATTATTAAAGAATCCTGAAAAAAAAGATAATGGTTTCCACATAACAGTAGCCCTCAAACTGTATTCACTTTATAGCCCTTAATTCTGTAATTGTGGACAAATGTGGGCACAGAGGACTCAGGTGTGATCCTAATTTTTATTTATATAAATGTTATTTCACTGACGATAAAGTTTTGTCTATCCATTTATGGTATTTTTTTTTTAATTTTATTTTGGGGGTATTTTTGAATTTCTTTACTTCAAAAAGTACCATATTTTCTATGTAAATTATGCTCATTTTTATGTTTTATCTTTTCAATTTTTTTAACTACATTAAAATATCATTCCAATAAGTTCTTAGAGCTAAAACCTAAAGATGAAGTGACTTTGCTGTTACCTGGTGTCTTATTTTGGCTTATTTTAGAATGCTCTAAATTACAGTTTTTCCCATTCATTTATATGGGTGCCCATTTTTGACCCAAATACAAGATTAAGTTTTTATTCTTAATAATTTATTTTGTTATGTACAAGTTTTTTTTTCACCCACTTAACATTGTAGAATTGAGTCAAAAAAACAATTGTTTGTTCAGGAGGCAAACTTAGGAAAAGTAGCCAAGTCTTGTACCGCTCAGATCAAGGGAAGTATTTTTTAAAAATAAATCAAAATTATTTTACCCACATTTGTCCAGAATATGGTTTTAGGGTTAAGCAGCACAACTGTTATCAAAATCATCATTAATAACAATAAGAAATATTTCTTTAGCTCCAAATTAGCCTATTAAAATGATTTCTGAATGATCGTGTGACACTGAAGACTAGAGTAATGGCTGCTGAAAATTCAGCTTTGCCATAACAGGATTAAATTACATTGATAAATATATTGAAACAGGTATTTTAAATTGGAACAATATTTGGTAATGCTTCCTTTTACAGTACTTACAGTGTACTTATAGTGTACTTACCTAGAAAGTACTGGCTAAAATAAGGTAAGTACATGGAACAGGGGTAGGTTTAGGGGTAGGTTCAGGGTTCGTACTACAATTATTACCCAGTAATTGTAGTTACTAAAATAAGTACATAGTATTTACATGGGTAACTGGACTGTAAAAGGAAGCGTTACCCAATATTTAATAATATAACTGTTTTACTGTGTAAAATAAATAGATCAAATAAATGAGCATAAGAAACTTCTCTCAAAAACATAAAAAAAATCTTACCGACCACAAACTTTTGAAAATTATTGTATGATTTCTTTGTTGCTGTCATCACGTGTTTTTCCATCTAAGTTTCATTCTAAATTTAATTTCATTAAATAATACCTTTCATTTTAAAAATTGCAAGAACAATCCATATAAAGAATCCACATCCCATCTCATCTGTTTAAGTAAACAAAATATGATGTCTTCATACAGAATAAACATTAATCCTCCTCAAATTATTTTAATACAATGCAATATATTCCAAAATTTGCATAAAAATATGTGATGAATGAAAACACGTGTAGTGTGAATGAGGGATTTTAATCAAGCAGGTAATCTTTGAAAAGCCTTCCAAAAAATATGAGCCACAACTTGCACTGCTGTTGGTATTTTTATCACACACAGTATCATCATATTTTCTGAAAGTTTTACCTGGCTTTTATTAAAACCTTTACAACAGCTCTTTTATTCATTTCCAAAGCAAAGTGTTAAAATGTGTGTTGGATGTATTTATAATGCTTCCTGACCCTGTAAATGTAGCTGTGGAAACCCTGAGGTAACAGAAAGGCCTTCCATATCAATATCATCAAGCACCTTGTAAGGCGAACACTACTTGTCATTATTTACTTGAAGCCTGATTTGAGCTCCAAACTGATTGGCCTGCTGTCTTTGTTTTCCCTCTGTGTTTGTGATATGCTGGAACAGTGCAGCATGGTGTCGGGAAGTTCAAAACACATTATCACCCTTCCTCCGACCAGAGTGTAATCAGCGCAGACAGGCATCAGTTTTCCTCCAGCGATAGTCTCTGCTTCTCGTTAGGATGTCGTGAGTGTACATTCGTTGTTTTTGTAAACAGGGATTCGGTGTGTGTTGCATAAATAAGCCGGCGCGTTTGAAATATGAGTGCATCGAGAGAGCCTGCACACTCCATGCTGAGTTTTCTCAGGGGTCCTCCGCATGTGGTGCGTGTTGGGGTCGTGTGTAGAACTGTTGTGACGTTTCAAACATATTATTATCGTTATTAAGAAATCTAACCTTGGCCCAGTGTCCAGAACCCCTTTTTCTTGTATTCCTCCTCCTCTTTATCTCTGTTTCTTGCTTTATTATTGTTTCTCTTTCTGTCTCACTGTACCGTGTGTTCTGTTTATTTTGACAGCCAATTGCTGTTGAGTATTTTTTAACGAGGGCTTTGATGAGCCTTTGTTTAATTAACTGGAGAAGACTGGAGAGGAGGAGTGCAAGCAGCCTCTAACTGGTCACTCATTGCACTCTTTCCTACTTTTCCTTTTTTTTTTTGATTTTTTTTCGCTCCCTCCTTTGAGCCCCTGAGCTAATTGTTAACATCCCCCTGCCCTGAACTGTAAAACAAATGTGCTACTGTGAGAGGGGTGTGCCACACGAAGCAGAACTGTTTAAATCAGGCCCTAAACACATATCTTTGAACAAAGGCTCCAACGTTTAAGTGTTGAAAGTAGCTAATCTGTTCTGATTTATACATGGAGCTGGGATTCAACCATACATGTATTGATTTTGTGGGTCTTAGTGAAAATGGCCAAATGGAAGGAACTTTTCTTCTGCAACCAAGGAGGAAATTGTTAAAATAGTTACATTTGGTCAATTGTTTTTGGATATTACTCGTGCTGGATGTGAATGCTTACAATGTCAACAGAATTATTTCAAAGCACAGTGAGACCACTACCATGAAGAATGTAAAGTGTTGTGGCTGGTGAGCATTTTGACAGCACCTGATTGTGGGACCACCTTCTAAAGATCTAGACGAAATGTTCAAGTGTGAGAAATCTCCAATTTCATCTTGAACTGTAAGCCAACATCTACAAGATGCAGGATTGAGAGGTTGTATAACAGTAAAGAAAGTATTTATTAGTTTTATCAACTGCAAACAAAAAGAACACCTTATATTTGCCAAAGAACATAAAGATTGGAGTATGTTCAATGTTCAATTTATTTATAAAGCACATATTAATACAACAAAAGTTGACCATAGTCCTGTACATAGGATACGATGATTACAATTAAATTCTAAACATTGACACCTCAAAATCTAAACGGTGTCAATACTAACCTATTACACCACTAGCACAACACTCATGATCGATCAAAAGGCCAGAGTGAAAAAATAAGTTTAAACTCTGTAAGAGAGGAACATATAATAAAATGAGGTAAACTCATTTGTATGGAAGATTGGAGCCATGTTCTCCAGACTCCAGTCAAATTTAACAACCTAGCATTGTTTTAATATCAAAAGCATGCGTGGTGCACGGCAGGGGAAACATAATGGTATTGGGGACCCATGTCTGCAGCAGGTGTTTGAAGTTGCGGGCTCTTTGAAAATGGACTAATACTTGGGATTCCTGCTGAACAATATGTAGCCAAGTTTGGAGGATCTGTTTGGAGAGCAAATATGTATTTTCTAATTTGAAAACGATCGTAAACGCACCATGAATGCAACAAAGTTGTGAGCAATAAGTGTTCATGCTCAGCATTTTGGAGTCATCAAGTCCCCTGACCTTAAAGCCATTGAAAACCTTTGGGAAATTATAAACCGTGCCTGAATTGTGATAAGTCATGCAGGTCTTCCAATGAAGCTCAACTTTGAGAAGAATTTAAGGAAGATTGGAAAGAAGTTAAGCATGACACATGCACAAAGTCAATACCTAGGAGAATGGCTGCTGAAATGAAAAAAAAAAAGAGCCAACAAAATATGAATACTGGTAGCTGATTACATTTTAGTCAGTAAATTATGTATTTATTGTGGGCTTTTTGTTTTTCTATGCATTTTTGTTGCATAATACTATAATACCTATATTCCATGATATGCTGGAGATTGCCTTTCTTGGCAAATTATTTTGTCATTTTACCTTAACCAAGTTTAATCTATTCTTCTTCCCAATATATCATTCTACTCATATACCATATATCATTCATATCATATTATATGATATATGAGAAGAATGATATATTGGGAAGAAGAATAGATTGGGAAAAAGAAGAATATTGGGATTACATTCATATATATATATATATATATATATTATTATAGAAAAGTGGAAACACTCACGGACAGGCTTGGTCCACTTTTCTGCAAGGGCTTTGGAGTTCTTAGTTCAACTACTTGTTTTCTTGTGTAATATAGTGTTATAAATTAAAACTGAATTATAAATCAATCAATTTCAGTCTCACTCACATGGTTTCTTTGCTTTTGTCCAGTATGAATGTGGGCTTCAAAAGTTGTATGCTTCTTCAATTAAGTAGCAGAAAATATGAATGCATGTATAAATGAATACAGATATATCAATATAAGTAAATAGAGAATCTATTCACCCCTGCCCGGATTGTGCAATCCTTGCTCATGACTCTATTTGCTGTAAAAAAAAATCTATGCTCACCATATTTACAAACGCCTTACTCCAATCAGACCAAATGACTTGTGAGTGATTAGAATTTACCCAGTAGGAGACAGGTACCTGTGTGTGTCTTCATTCCACCATGAGGAACAGAAACAACCCTTACTACTCCGGCCTCTGTGATTTATTATGGCTATTAAACATACAGAGACAGGAGTCCGGAAAACAAGTGTGTTTATTTTTTAATCATTGCAGTGCAGTGCATGCACTCTAATCATCTATAATCACCTAGTTAGTGCTTCAGCCTGATTAGTGGCTGATTGAATATGACTGCAATGTGTGTGCATATGTGTAGTTGTGCTATGTTATATGTTAAGTGTCACGTTGAACGCACAAAACTGTTTTCTACTCATTATATCCATGCCAACTGTAGATTAACACATAGGCCATAGGTATTTCAGAAGCTGGTGGAGATGGATTATAGCAATTTCACGTGGGGCCTGACCCCACACAGGACATAATCACACTGCCTCCATCCTCCTTTTGGAGTGAGAAAGGAGGGGAGAGCTTTTCCTGTTGACCCCACCTGACCTGAACCATTCAGGTCTTTGTCGGTCAGGTGGGTGTGTGTACTTTATACTTTATATGACTGTTTACAGAGAAGCTGAAGTGAAGTTCACAGCCATATGGCCAGCTGATGTTGTGGTGACGCCAACCCTCCCCAGTCCTTGCTCTCTGATGCTGTAAGAACAACCTTATGTCGGGGCTGTGCTGCTCCAGTTAGATCTTGTGCTCACAACGTACAGTGACAAACTTAAAGGAGTTTACTCACCCCCATGTCATCCAGGATGTCCATGTCATTCTTTCTTCAGTCGAAAAGAAATTAAGGTTTTTGATGAAAACATTCCAGGATTTTCTCCATATAATGGACTTCACTGGGAACCGAACGGTTCAAGGTCGGTGAATCAGCCGGTGAATAAGGGTCTTATCTTGCGAAACGATCGCTCATTTAAAAAATAAATAAAAAAGTTTAAGTTTTATAAGCACAAATGCTTGCCCTGCTCTGTTCTGTGATGAGCCTTCGTGACTCTCCTGTTCAAACTCATTCATCAACATGAACAAATCTTTTTTCGAGTCATGACTCGAAGGGTCCTAGATAAGACCCTTTTTCATCGTCTGGTGTCGTTTAAAGCCCTTTGAAGCTGCACTGAAACTCTCATTTGGACCTTGAACCATTTGGTTCCCAATGAAGTCCATTATATGGAGAAAATCCTGGAATGTTTTCATCAAAAACCTTAATTTCTTTTCGACTGAAGAAAGAAAGACGTGGACATCTTGGATGACATGGGGGTGAGTAAATTATCAGCAAATTTTTTTTAAACATTCTTAAAACTCTATGAAGTTCATTGCATTAGAAATCTTAATATATAGCAAAGTGCCATTAATTTGGTCAAAATATGGATAGCACAAAAGTGCAAAACATGTTACTTAGTGAAACGTGTCCATAGTTAATATAATGAATGACATTAGAAAAGTTGGATAGATGTGGTTTCAAAAAGTGCAGTTAGTTGAGAAATGCTCTAGGTTATATATTATACACAGTCCTTAAGGCATTTAAGCTGTCAGAGACTGAACCTGAGCATTAGTTGGTTAGGTAATGCTAGTAGCTTCTAATTTAAGAAATGTCTACTGTGGAATTTCCATGTGAGATGGAGAGAGACGGAGAATGAAAAGGAAAGGATCAGATGACTGAAGCAAAGAGGGCATTGTCTTGCTTTCTGTTTTCCATTCTCTACCCATCACATGGACCGAAAAGGGATAAAAAATACCCCTCATTCTCTCTTATATGGATTTACTGTGTATTCATCCTTCATTTCACTAGATTTATTGCCCAAGTGTTTCCAATGTGCAGGAAGTCCTCTTGTATAATGGTGTTTTGTTTTTATTTTTTGACCCCATCAGATAAAAATCCCACATAGACTCTTGGCCCTCCAGTCTGCTGTTTTCTTTCAGGTTTAGTGTCATATTAATAGCTTTGGATCTCCCCTGAAGTATTAGCCTGATTGTCAGGAAGGCGCTGGACGGCAGACAAGGGCATATTTGAGGTTTTCGGCTTGGAGCTTGAGTTGTGTGTGTATCAGCGCGTGTGGCGGTGAACGTGTGTTGATGTTTAAACAGCACTGCGGTTCTCCCAGCATAAATATGCACCATAGTGCTGCTAAGCTCCCCTTTTTATGTCTGTGAGATTGCATGTAACATAGATGCTTGTGTTTGTAAATACAATATGAAAAGTGTTTCTTGTATGTGCTCATGGAGATTACATTAGAGACCAGAATGCAGCAGATTCTGGCTATCGAAAGAATGAAAGGATCACCTGATGATATTCAGTTGGACAGGGAGGAGAGAAACATGTAAACATTTCAAATAAATGTCCATAGTTTTACCACCTTTTGGAGAGGGTTATACTGTGTGAAAGATACTCAGTATGTGAACCTCACGTTTCTTTGTTTTTCTCTCTCATTTGTCCTTTTTTCTCTAGGGGAAGGTGGCTCAGACGGCATGTATGTCAGCCTGTAAACACCTCTCCACTTCCCTGCTGCAGCTGCTGTTGGAGGCTGATGTCAGGCAAGTGTCTATGGGAGCCCTGCAGCAGTTCAACGTGGACGTCAAAGAGTGTGAGAGTAAGTTTAAGTGAAAGCTCACTGACATTCATAATCCTCCTTAAACCCTGATTGCATGATTGGGCTTCATCCTGGTGTGGCCCAATTTAAAATTTCCCGAATCCTACTGGTGACTTTTAATCAAGCCACAATGCTGTGTTTACTGTAACTAACTTCTTATTTGACACCCATGTGACTTTCTGAAAAACTGAGCTGAAAGTTAGAGGAAAAGGTGAGAAGAGAAGGATATGCATTTTTGGCTAGCATCTGAGATTTGCCGCTTGGCCCATCCCTCCTCACGGCTTTCGTGTGACCACAGCTAAAATTGCCTTTGAGCACCTAACCCTGTATGGTTAATGGATTTCCCTTGGATCCTCAGCCAGAGCATGCTATCGCACATAGGTCACAGAGAGGGAGAGAAAATAACCCCAGTCATATTGCGGTCACATCAGTTATACTGTACGACACCTTTTTCTTGTGGTTTGCTTTGGTTTACCAAGCAGTCTGTGATTACTTTCATTTTTAGAGACCCCCTGTTTATTTGTATATATGGGTCTTGGGGCATAATGGAAAACTAAAATAACTTCTAAAAGATGTAACCACTTGAATGCACAGATGATGTGTCTGTGGTTCAATCTATCAACAGTTTGGAAGTGTCTGTGCTGTGGGATAGAGAGGGAGGGAGATATGAAGGTACGATGAGGATCAGTTTGGAAAGTTTCAGAAGGGTTGGAAAATATATTTCTCTGCATAAAGCTAAGCAGGCCCCAATTGTTTTTTAATGTGGAATTTTGAATATGGGTAAGCTACGGAGTGCAGGTGAGTACTCTGGCTGCTGTGTTTTGAGTGTATTGAAGTCTGGAAATAACTTTAGAAAGAAGAAGTCATGATGTGTAGTGTTGAAGGTGTGGACAAATCTTGATGGTTTCACTGTCATAAAAAAATTGTACAACAGCTCGTCACTGGGGCAGTACCCTAAAAGGCACAACTTTGTACCCCCAAAACATGCACATAAAAACCTTAGAGTAATAATATTTTTCCTTAAAGTACTTTAAACTAGGGATGCACCGAATATTCGGCCACCGAAAATTTTCGGCCGAAAATGGCCCAAAAGTGCATTTTCGGTTTTCGGCCGAAAGACTTTTATCACCGAAACAATACGGCCGAAATGTTGTGATGACGCAAACAGAAACCGCGACCTGCACGTGCTTGTCTGAAGCAACATGTTTGCGGTGCGGACGTATTTCAGTGAATCTGAACCCGCGAGGAGACGGAAGCCTTGTTTATCCACCTATATCTGCTCTAAACAATGCGCGCCGCCATGACAACGACTCCGGATGCGAGCGGGTCAAGTAACTGTGGAGACTCGCGCTGCGGAGGCAGGCGAAAGTATGCGCAAGTCTCCTCAGACAGCGCGCGCACCGCTCCAAACGGTCGAGGCGTTTTACTGGACCCGCTCTCCGTTGTACTATGCCTTGAAACGACAGGGGACGACTCAAGTAACTGTCCTCTAACCATTAGGAATCGGTGAGAAGAAGAAAGATAAACACATGACAATGTTTTTAGTATACCACCACCAATACAAAAATAATCATGTAAAACCCAGTAAACCCTGAGATTATTACTTGTGTGACATTACAAAAAAATATATATGGGAACATGTATGTATAGAACTAAATGCTCTCTTAAATATTTTCTACATTCACTAAACATGTTTTGTTAAGTTTCATGTACATTTGTATTAATCATGGACCTTTGTTCATTTAAAAAGGCTTTTTATGCTATTGTATGCTACATTTTTAAAATGTAAGAAACTAATTTAGACGTGCAAAGGGTGCTGGTGTGATGAGAAGAAGTTTGCACTCGGCTTTGTTTTTGAGAGAACATTTAATTTTAAAACCTTTCTGCAGGCCATTAGATTATTATTTAATGTACACATGAGTGGGGTCAAAAACATATTAGTTTGAATTTTATTTTATACTGTGCATTGTGCTAAATAAATATTCGCATAATTTGTAATTAATTAATTTATATTAATTTATGCAATTGCAATGCCTTGATTTTAGTAACGTTTGTACACAGTCATAGCCATAAATGCAATGATACTGATAATTGGCATAATTTCTTTCGGTGTTTCGGTTTTCGGCCTTGGTTTCCTCTTTTTCGGTTTTCGGTTTCGGCCAAGAATTTTCATTTCGGTGCATCCCTACTTTAAACCTTATAGGGTTAAGTACAAAAATGTCCCTTTCAGTGTAATACACTAATGACAAGCTGTACCCCTAATTGGAGAGGCTGTTGTATATGTTGAACCCCATATTATGAAGTGGGTATAAAGCAGTTTTAGCATTCAAAGTTGAGGAATTGGTCTAACAAGATTATATAAAGAGTTTACTTAAGTCTTAGCAAGGTTTAATTAAACTATAGTAGGGTTTAAAATTAACAATGGTGTATGCTTCTAAGCAATTGAAATTCGTAAAATCTGCTATTTTATGATATTTTGGGGTAAAATTGGCCATTTGGGTACTTTCAGGTACAACCGGACTTTCAGTCACATTTTTACAATGATAATAATTAATAATAATAATCAGTCATATTATATACTAGAATGCTTCCTAATCAATTTTAATTCAATTAAATGTTATCAGTCATCATACCACTGTAATATCATCTCGAGCCCACAAGAGGCTCTGTTAAACTGACATTGGCCTCTCTCGTGTCTACTGCGCCTCTTTGACCTGTACAACACCAGGAGCGAGCGATTGGACATTCAAAGTGAGAGGGCGTCAAGAGTTGCTTCCTGTTCAGTTCAGCTGGTTTTGGGGAGCATAAAGGTCTTGACAGCATTTCCTTGCTTATCCCTTGAGAGGTTTCTTAGTGTAGTCAGTAACAGGGCTTTATACTGGAATGTGTCAGTTAGGTGAAAGCCTAGAGGTCCCTGTTCTTGAATCTTGATGAGATGTGTTCTGACACGCGTCACGTAAACCATGCCACAGGTCTCTCTCCTGTAAAAAGGCGAATGGGGAAGTTCGCAAAATCGACACAGTCTCGGGCTGAGACGCCGCAACAAAAGCGCGAGGGTAAGCAGTCGCTGGCTCAGCGTTTGCGGGGGTCAGAAATAAAGATGGCAGGCGTGTAATTTGCGTGAGAGGCAAGAAAGGCACGCAGCATCACGAGGTGAAAGGGATTTCTACTGGCCCCGGCTTGGTTTTGTCTCCGCGTGTCAAATGTTCCGTTTTTCAGAATGGCGAAGCCGCTTGTTTACGGGTTCCCGTCCAAAGGCACAGAAAGGTCCAATGGCCCTCAGAAACCTCTACAACTCTTGCACTCCCCACACACCCCCAGCCCATTGGCTTTTCACAAGTGTCGTCGGCCCCTTCGCTAAGTACCACGCCACTGGTCTGGGAGAGCGGCCTCATGGGAATCGCCGTCAGGCCTCAGGTTGCGGAGTAAAGGCTGCCCTCTCATCCCCACACAGCCCCTCTCTCTGGCTTGTCAGATCAACGTTGGGGAGAATTAATGAGAGTTTGATGATGATTTTTTCCACCGAATGGGCCGCACAAAGCCGGTGGCAGACCGAGAGACATGACTCTGCTCTGAACCACCCAACAAACCCTCCACCCCCTCTGCCAGCACCCCCAAAACCTTCAAAGCCCCCTTCCATTTCACCTCCCCCGCCCCCACTGAACCTCCCCCTGTCCTCCCCTTGTCCCGGCTGTCATCCGTCTGCCAATCTCCCGCTCCATGGCGAATTCCCTGCTCTCTTTATCCGTCTCTCTTTCCCACAGGGTTTGCCAGGGCCGGCCCGGTGCCTGGCTTCCAGGGGGACACTCTGCTGCTCGCCTTCATCGACTTGAGACAAGTAAGTCTTTGTTTTTTTCCACTCCTTTTTCTTTTCTTTCATTCTTCTTTCCCCTTTCTTCTGTTTTCCCCTGTTTACCCCTCAACACCCCCCCCCCCCCCTTCTTTCTCTTATTTTCCCCTCTACTGTCAAACCCAACCCCCTAAACCTCCACGCTAGCCTTAGTTTTGTTTGAAGGTTTCCGCAAATGTGTGAGTCTGTGTCTGTTTGTATTCATATCTTTGGTCTCAAGGCCCGGTCTGATATTCACCTTTGGGTGGTTTTGTATTTACCATTGTTCGGTTTAAGGTAAGATTTTTTTGGAGTCATATTATCCTATTTGCACCTCTGCACACTTGAACATTGCGGAACTAGAGCCGCTGATTGAAAACTTTGGCCTGTAACATTGCTCTGGGCTGACTTGAAAAACAAAAACTGAAACACACGGAGAAGAACATCAAGGTGATTTTGCAATCAGAAAGACAGCACTCCAAGGCATTATTCTTATATCCCTATTGTTTTTGTTTAAGTACAGTCTTTTGGTTGCACACAATCGATTTTGTTACTGCAGAGTCGTAGCCTAGCAGTTAACACGCATACTTTAAGTTCAGATGTTGAGGTGTACCCTATGTTGAGACTATTTGTAAGCACCTTACAATTACGAAAGGAAAACGTTCCAAGATTTTTCTCCATATAATGGACTTCAACAGGGACCAACGGGTTGAAGGACCAAATTGTTTCAATGCAGCTTCAAAGGGCTCTACACCATCACAGTTGAGGAATAAGGGTCTTATTTAGCCAAACTACCTGTCATTTTCTATTTTTTATTATTATTTTTTTAATACTTTTTAACCACAAATGCTTGTCTTGTACTAGCTCTGCGACGCATGTCTACGACTTCACTCATTACGTAGTCATGTTGGAAAGGTCATGCGTGAAGTTGGCGGAAGTACTGACCCAGTGTTTACAAGTTAAAGTTGTGGATGTGCATCTCTGAGCTAGTGCAAGATTTAAAAAAGTATATACAGTTTTATTTTATTCTTAGAAAATTACTGATCATTTCGCTAGACGAGACCCTTATTCCTCGGTTGGGATCATGTAGAGCCTGTTGAGGCTCCATTGAAATTGATTTTCTTATACATTATATAACATATAAGTGACTCTTTAAATTCAGCATGAAAAAGCTACAAACAAAAGCTTGGAATATTCTTTGTGAACGCATTCTTTTGCAACATTGTGGATTTCATGTACAGTTCTGTGTGGCAGGTCTTGCATGTCAGCTAAGCGATTGACTTTGTACATCTAACTGAAGTTAGCTAAATCAACGCGACACGTCAAATGAAAGTTAAAAAAAAAACGTCTTGTAAGAAGTATGTAGCGTATGCCTATTTGTCAATTCTGAGATCTAGAGGGAAACAATAATAGTGGGGTTATAAGGGTCCATATTTGGGACCCCTTCCCTTGTTGCCGAAGTGGCCAACCTGGGCGGGTGTCAGGGACTGAGAGGGGATGACAGATGGGCTGGATGCTCAGGGAGTACTGGATGAATGAGCTGACAGACAGTGACAGATAGCTCTTTCTTCCACTAAAACAATTCCGTTTTGTCCCGCCTGCCATCATGATGCAGTGCCACTTGTTTTCCATTTAGTTTCGTTTTTTTTTAAAAACCTGACTTCACCATGAAGGCGCTTGTGTGGTTTTGCTTTGTTTTGTTTTTTTAAGAGAGGAGAAAAGAGGATGCTGAAGAAAAGAATGAACAAAATAGCCATTTTGTTTTTTTTTATGTCATGTTTTGCTTTTGAGCTGTCATGATGCATGACTCTCTACAAAAGATATCTTTCATTATTAATACTGTTATTGTTATTATAATTTCAAAAGCATCCGAAGTCGGTAGAGGTGCAGACTTCTCTCAAGAGGTGGCTTTTTAAAGGGGTTGTTCTGGTGATCAGAGACGTCAGAACTGTTCTGTCTCTCTGCGTGCCTGGCCCTGAATACGCCCGATAAATCAACCTGAAGGGGCCCGTTTGTGTCCCGGTCTCCCGGGTCCTGGGATGGGGCTGCGGGTCAATCTTTCTGGAGATAGACAACGAAAAGGTCCGGAAGCTCTGGGAGGGGTTTTGGTGAGAAGCTGGAACCTGGGTTCACTCTCCTATCTGAAAAGACAAGAATACAAAAAGAAAAGGACATCCAAATTATGCTTCAAAGTGCTTTAGACAGAGGATGGATGGAGGATGACGTGACGAACGACTTAATTCTCAGATTGTTGCATTAATCTTTACTCTTCAGCCACATTCATATAGCAGGGAGATATGGTTGACAGTGCTGTTTGCAGTTTGAAATACGGCTGTTTGGTTATGAACCAGAGTTACAATTCTTCAACCAAAATGCCTACCTGGAATTGTATGGTGTCATCATGGCTGAATTTTCAGAGTGGGTTGATATGCAAAATGAATGTACAGATAGTAAAAGCACATGAAGGATGACATCGAAGGATAGGATATGATGTAAGTATGTAAGATTTGACCTAAGAACTGGACTTCAGACCCAATCAGCATTTAATCTCAAACACTGCGTTTAAGTGGCCTTCCTGTAATTTGACATTTCAAAACGTCAAAAGAAGACTTGGTTTTGGTTCAAGACTTGGTTCAAAACTTGGTTTTCCAAGATTTTCCAAAAAAAAAGCAACCGATAAAATCAGGAGGAGACATTATTTTAAATGGTATACTCCATGCTGCAGTTCTATATTTAGGAGTCTTATATTAGCAGATTAGGGAAGGTTTGTGGTGATGGGAACCCTTGGCTGGCCTTGGTGTGGGAGGCCTGCTGGCCTCTGTGGTGAAGCTGGCCCCCCAGCAGTGCACGTTCTCGGGGCTGCCGCATGCCTCAACTCTTGCGCTGGATCTTCTGCCTTCCCAAATTCCTCTGAGTTCTAAGGGGTGGGGGGTGGAAAGAGCCTGCAGCCAGGCTTTGGTTAATGTGGAGGCCCTGATGGTGGAACTGTTTTTAGTGTATGAAGGGGTGGTCTAAGTCGAGTTTGGCTAGTTTGACTAATTTGATGGTTAACTGCATATGGTTTTTGTCTGTCTTTATCTGTCTGATTTATTTATTCATCTGTTTGTCTTTTTTTCTGTCCGTATAACCTTCAATTTTAAAGGATTTTTGTTTTTACAAATCTTTCAAACAAGACTTTGTCGTGCTAACATTCAAATACTGCCTTTAAAAATGCTTATTAAGTAAAAAAAATAGTTGAATTTCGGTTCATTTTGATTCTATTTTACATTCAAATTTGATTATTTGATTTTTGCAGTCATATTTATTACAAATTCACTTACTGAATCTGAATTTTTTAAAGCCATTCTCATTTCAGTTATGATTGGTGCACAAACCTGCTGGGTTCAAAGTAATTTGGTGCTCTGGTAGGTGCATAAAAGCCTCCATGTATGGAGCTAAAAGAGTCTCAATAAAGATAAATGCACACACAGCATTCATAAATGCAAACACAATACACACACAGGATAGAACAAATGCGCACAAAATTCACAGACAAAATTTAAAAAGCACAGAAGATTCACAAATGCATGCAAAATTCGTAAATGCACACAAAATTCATAGACACACAATTCAGAATTGTCATAAATGACAAGGAGGCTGCCTCGTGCAATGACCCCGGTGGAGGCGTGGCCTAAATACACTCTGTCTTTATGCATATAGCGCTGTGTGAACGCGTTCATGTGATTGCCGTATAAGTAAATAATCCCCCACGAGGGTGCGTTCTTGTGATTGACTAAAACAGTCGAAATTGTTGCGGATCATTCCCTGTTTAAAACAAGGCATTTGTGTGTCGAACCAAGTCAGGGGAGTCTCAAAATTCACACAAATGCCGTGAAGTTCACAGACCGCAAGCAGTTTGTAAATCAAGATATATTTGTGTGTGCATCAGAAATACATTTTCTGAATCTTGTCCTGTGCTTTTCTGAATCTTGTGTGCATTTGTGAATTTTGTGTGCATGTATGAATTTTGTGTCATGCATATGTTGATGTAGTGTGTGCATTTATCTTTATTGAGACTCTTTTAGCTCCATATGTGTGTCATAGAGGGTGATGGTTGAAGGTATGAGAGATATTATTTCCCCACTACATCCCCTGCTGTGTTGTCTCTCCTACCCACACTTTATGATTCATTCTGGGGCACTGCATAGAAGTACAGAGGGGGCGGGGATTCATTTTCCTGGTCCCGTGAATTTAGGAACCATGAGGCTGCTAAGCATTCCTGTGGCCTGTCCACAGGCATTATCCTAGTATTCCTGGAACGTTGTTAAAAGGATTCAATGTAAAATGCATTTCCCCTCTCTAACCCCTTCCATTCCTTTCTCTTAGTCCTTGGTGGTGAAAGCCTATCACCAGTGACACCCCTACAGGCTTATTCTTGCATCCTTCTGAACCCTATGGGCACCTTCTCAGTGTCCATACGATTCTAGCTAGCCAACTGCAGCTGTGTCGGATTTCTTTTAGCTCTATTTCTTTGTCTCTGACATAACTTTTTCTTTTGTGATTGTGATAACTCTGTTCTGCTGTCAAAGTTGGTTATGTTGGTTTAAGTGTGGTTTGGTGCTTGCACAGAAACGAATGATTGAAATGTAATCCGTATAATGTTCTGGCACCATCTAATGATTTAATACTCTCAGAGTTATTTTGGAGTCTGTTTATATTCCTTTATATATATTTTTTTTTTGTGTGTGTGTGTTTGGTAATCGCTAAACAAACCCAGAGTCCGCTGGTGACCCATAGTGAAAAAATGTTGTTCCGGCAACAGGGTGCAAGGCAGGGACATGTTGGGCGAGCCAGAAATTTGAACACCACCACCCCCTCCACCCTGAAAGGAGTTCACTGCGGTTTAAGAAAATTTGCTGCTTGGTCCCAAATCTCAGTCAGAAACCTTCTCTAGAGAGTCAGGGAATCTGGAGAATGTTCCTTCAGTTATAAAGACTTCTTGTAACAAAAATGAGATATTTTGTTCTTCT